AATGCCGCGAGAGTGTCATGTGAGCTTCGGAAGGGGCTCCGCAGCGACGCGCTGGGCGCGTAGTCAAGCGATGTGCTTGCTCATCGCGGGAGGATTGGCTGGAATGACTCGCTGTGCCCGCCGTGGTCCGTCGTATCGCAAAACGGAAAGGCGGTTAGGAGTAGTGACGTCAGCTTACGTAGAAAGGATTGCCATCGAGCCAGATCCACAGTGGCCAGATCGAGCTGCCTTCCCTGCAAGCAGCCATTTGCCAGAGTCGATCTCTGCTGCAGATCGTAGCGACCCAGCCCTGGACACAGCCTTCCCCTCGAATTTGCTCAACGGCCTGATCCTTAGCCCCGCTAAGTCCATATTTCCCGTTTTCTCTTGATCAATCTAGTTGCTCCTAGAGACTTGGTCAGATTTTTTCGCTCTTTGTTTGCTTGCAGTTTGTTTCTCCTTTGTGTAAGCTCTCGTGTATTTTTGAGCGAATCCGTTTATTATTGCTTCGTCCTTAACTCGTGCATTTTCGAGATAATTTGTTTGTCATTGCTTCGTCCTTAACACGTGCTCTACACGTGCGCTGCGTTTAGTAGCGAGTACCTTTTCGACCTTTATTGTTTTCGTACTGTAGTTAACGAAGTTGCACGTTTTATCAGTCTAATTTTTGCGTGATATCTTCTCGCAACGGTTTCCTTTAATTTAAAACAGCTGTGCAATTTAACAGATGCAGGAGATTCAGTTTTAGCATGGTGTCAATTGATAAGTCTGCTACCCCGACACACGCCATGTGACTTGTGTGGAGAGAACTGGAGGCTCTACTATCGAGCTGAGGGCAAGCCAGTTTTGGAGGCGTCGGAAAGGCCATGACTGGAAAAAGAGCATCACCACAGGCACCTTCTTCGACAAGTGCCATCTTGCGATTGGACAGCTTCTCGAAGTCCTCTTTGTCATTACTGGTGGGGGAGCCACCTTGTCTTCCATCCAGAGAATTGCCTCTCAGGAAACCAGAACGCTCTCCATGAAACTATTGTGGCCTGGACATGATGTTTTCGAGACACCTGCTTCAGATGGTTTGACGAAATGCAGAGCTTTCCAGCAAGACCGAGAATTGGTGGCCTTTGAAAGGTCGTCGAGGTCGACGAGGCTAAGATTGGCCATCGTAACCTAGGGGACGAGTGGTTGATGACATCTGTATTTTTGGAATGGTGGAACTTCAGACAGGGGCTGCAGGTGATCATTGCTGAGGTGGGCATGTGCACTTGGAGGTGTGCCTGGCACCGCCATCATGATTGACAAGTGGGCAGCTTACAGCTGCCCACTTATCAATCATGATGGTGGTGCCAGGCTTCCTCAACTTGAGTTCCAGTTCGACTATGAACTATACCCTGTACTTCGTAGATCCCGTAAAGAACACTCAGACCATAGAGTACAAATGGAGGTCATTGAAGCGCCACAATGCTCACTCGGGAAAAACCCAAAACAATGGATATGGGCTGCATCTCTGCGAGTTCATGTGGCGAAGAGAGATGGATATTAGAGACATGGATCCCTTCCTAGGGTTCCTGGAGACAGCTGCAGCTGTGTATCCCCCTGGACCCGCAGCAGTTCGACAGTTGTTAGCACCACAGGATGTGGTGGTGCATTTTGGAGAAATGTGGTACGGCGGCAGCAAAGGCTGTCAGTTGTACTATGGAACCAGCCCGCCCTGCCAAATGCCTGTACTTCAGAAGGCAAATGCTGTGCACCAACAACTGGCACAGGTGCCTTCAACATCTGCTGCATCAATAACTGGGGTCACTTCTGCTCAGGCACCAATGACCAACCATGCCATGAGAGCATGGAGCCTTCCTGGGCCCACTGTCAGCCAGATGCTCTACCCAGTGCAAGGAATTGGAATGCCTGTGATCGTTCCTGCCCAGCAAGCTGTCACCCTCAACACTGCATTGTCGGCCATGGCACCATAGATGTCTGCGACATCTGCACCAGCAGCTCCTGGGATGGTCCAAGTCGTGCCACAACAGCCAGCTGGATTGCAATATCCATTGGTAACAATCATGCCTTGGACCTTCTTGTAATGCCCGAGTCCCACTAGACAGACAAGCAGAAACAGCCGACACCAACAAGCCTCAAGCATGTGTGGCATGCACGCGAAGGCACCTTTGGCAAACTTGTAGTCTTATGGTGCCCTTAAAGTAAGCATGCGATTGCAAGCCTGCAAAAGATACCTTTGCATGCTTGCTGCCGGTGCTTGCAACTTTTTGGTGTCAGTTGTTTCTGTCCGTTACTCTAGTGGAACTCGGCCATAGCTGACTCATCACGACTTAAGTGTTGTAAGAAGTGCCCTCGTAGGAAGGCGGCAATGGACTGGATAGCATATGCCTTAGAAAGCCAGAGATGCATCCACGTTCCGCCTCCTCTCCAAAGCCTTCAGAGACTGCACATAATTGTGAGGTTGTAAAGTACCGTCTCCAGCAGTTGTCAGATGCAACCCCCGATTGTTCATACAGCGCATCACAGAGGAAATGCCGTTGCTGCACTTCTTTTAGGGTCTTGCTTGTACAGGACATACTTATCATACATGTTTTTACTCTGAAGCTTTTCCCAAGCTGTTCCTTCAGGTTGTTGCAGGACCCAGTGACATGCCCAGCAGATGCGTCATATTTTACTGAGGTACGTTATGAATCACAAACCAGACTGGCTTTGCCAGATCACCCACATTTTTCTCTCGGCAGACCCTGCCTGCTAGAGAGCGCGTATCCCAGGTGGCGGATAGGGATGCTTCTATCGCACAAATACCTGCTCCTCTGCGATTCAGATAGTCACTTCAAAGAATTCCTTGGAATAGAAAAAATTGTCATTGATAATGCTTGCATAGTTAACTTCCATGTGACTAGCAGAGGAGCAGTTGAAGACCTGTGTGATAAAAATGGTGCTTGCACCCGCGGACCAACAGGAATTTAGACTTTAACACCATCTGGTGCCCTATGTATCAACCACTGAACAAAATTTGCACAAACAGACTTGCATGCAAGTGAATAAACTTTGCAATTCCTATGGTAAACGAGTGTTGCAATGCTTTTGTCCAAGTATGTTGCCACTGTTTGATGGTCAGTTAAGAAGTCGTGCAAGTTCACGCCGAAACGGGATTTCCTTTACACCATCTTTGATGATAGAATGTATCACTTGCCCTGTAATAAATACTTTTTAAAGGTGAGTATATCCACTCTATCCAGAACAAAACCCGATGCTCTAACAGTAGCATTACACCACTTCTCCACACCCCCCCAAAAAAGCTTGCGTTTTCAAAAGCATGGAGCTAAAAATAGGATTTTTTCTATCAATTCGGTCTTTCGCCTTTGATTTGTGAACTCAAGGATGCTCGGTTAGGTCATCTTCATCAATCGCTGCCATTAGAACAAAAACATAGCCTCCGAGATTCTTGCCACACAAATTTCTCCTCTGGACTTCTAAATCCTTCGCTGCCTAGAAGGAGCATTATATGCCCCTGCAGAGTTTTGCAATTTTTTCATTTCACAAGGCCAGCATCAGCATCTTAAGGTCAGATGTGTGCACACAACATAAAACTTGCATCTTCATTGTTCTCCAAGAAACTTGAGAAAGGTCGGGCATGTGAGCATGCCGAGACGGTTCAAGAGCTACTCGGCTCGTGCACTGGCTTTGACAGTACTCTGTTTCGCACACTTAACTGAGACACTACTAAAACGTTCCTTTATAGGACTTGCATGCTGATCCTTTGCAACTACCTGGATGAAGTTAATCCACAAAAAGAACTGTCCGATGGCAAGTCTTGTTCTAACAAACGAAAGTCACGTGTGCTTAAAAAGAAATAAGCTGTTAATTGCCAGCTGCACAGCGCTCCCCACGTTCTAACCAGGATTGCCAGTGCTCGTTATCACGGATGCATCTAGATAAGGTATTGTTTGTTTTAAGAACGTTTTGACCAACAGAATGGAAATATATTCTGTTGAGGAATGGAAGCCCTCGTATGCACGTGGATACTAGAACACTGGCATTTTTACCTCTAGGGAGCAGGTGCATGCTTGCCACTAGGACATATACTGTTACATGAAGAGCCAGATGAAGCTGACATCTTAGGTTTTGCCTCGCATCAAGGGGCTTAGGAGTTCAGTGCGGGCGTTAAGTTGGTTCAGTCCTCAGCTATCTAAAACGACTAGGTTGTTCCGCATTTCTTGATAAACCCGAAAAACTGAAGACCACCTGCCAATAAAATTTCTGCCATTTTGGATTTATTCAATATCTCAAAATGTCAATGCCTCAAATGCCCCTGCCCCCCCCCCCCCCCCCCCCCAAAAAAAAAAACAAATAAGTGATCAGAGCACAAAGTCAGTGGTCCTAAGAAAGTGCCACCACAGTTGTACCCTTCATAATGGGCGGTAGCTTGTGCCACCTAGCCTAGGTTTTTTTCTCTCACCCTTCTGAGCAAATTTCCTTCCCCCCTGGATGTTTGTAACTACCACCAAGCAGTGTGGGATATCACCAGGATGACCTTTAGGGGAGGGGGATTTGCATGGTGGCATGTGCACACTGGTGCGAGATCACATCTATGCATTATCCGTGAGAAACGGTCACTTTTATAAGTAAAAACATTGATAAAAGTATATCAAGCCCATGGCGAAAGAATGATGCGTAAAATATTAGGGAACTTGCTCAGATTGGAAGTGTTCCAGGTCCACCCCATAGGTAGTGCCAGTGTGGTCTCTTGTCGTAAGTGGTTGCAGCACGCGCCGCCACGCTCGGACGTGAATGCGTGAATCTGCCGTGTAGCATGCGTGATGGAGACTGAGCGAACCTGTGTATCAAACGTGGGTTTCTACTCGATTGGTGCTTCCGGGAATTCTGAATTTTTAAGCAGTCGTCAAAAATATTTCCACAATCTAGTTTTGTTTTTACAAAGTTTTGTAGGGCTTTTTAGGTTTCTGAGAAAAAAAAGTCTTATGCGACTTGTGGGACATGTCAGTGGACAAAAAAACACGCTCCACCTTTTTAAAACTGGGTTTATTCCTCTGCATTTTAAACAACAACAAGGTCGCAATGCAGCGGACGCGTTTTCCAAAAGAGAAAGAACGCCGCGAGCTTACCTCTGGCCCCAATGCCCAGTGCGTCAAGTAAAACAAAGAAACGCATTTACATCTAAACGTGGTACATAAAAAACATTCGCACACCAACAAAAAAATGGATTTTAGAGAAAAAAAAATTAAACAAACTTTAAGAGCACTTAGATTCATTAAAACAACAAACGTCCTTATACATTAGCTCATAAAAACCCAACAACCAATACGAAGCAAATTTAAAAATGTAAACAATGGGGCACCTAAAAAGCAGCAACTGCAAATAAACTCGACCGTTAGTTCCTTCGGTCGACGAAAGTGCGACAATACCAGTTTTTTGCAGTTTGCACCCCCCCCCCCTTTCTGCAAGCACCGGGCACACAATTTTCATTGTCCATCCCCATCAAAAACACGTATCATTCTTTGATGCACTTACGAATGCGTTAAATGCGGTTCTTGGCTCGTTGGCGATGGAATCGTCCCAACTCGAAACCTGCGCACGTCCTCCTAAACGTCCCGTTGTAGAGTAAGGTGTCCTCACTGCATTATGCGTCGTGGTCCCCGTCGCTACTGTGCCCAGGACGTGTCTTTGAAAGACTCGTCGAAAGTGGACCCGGAGTAGCAACTAATTGCGCCGGACGGCACCGAATCACCAACATGGCGCAAAGTCGGCACTGCACCGTCAAGGTCAACGCTATTTCGAACGACTGTGCTGTTTTACCTTACGTCAGGCTGTGGTGGACGCCCCGGGCCTACCCGACTAATCCGGCTCCGCGAACATGGTGTGCGATGCACCTCCCGCGCGTCGCCGCGCCACACCTTGTGAGGCCTTGGCTTGGCTTGGCCTAGCTTGGCTTCGACGGTTCTTGGTATGTTGCGGCCAGTCGAACGAAGCGTAATAAAGGGTTTTAAAAGATTGTTCCGGCAATGCTGACGATACCCGAAACTTTGGCAACGCCTTTGCACATGCACTGCATCGTTATCGGGCGGCGTCGCCGGAGGTGCCGGAATGATCTACTAAAATCCCCCAGTGGCGCGGAGGTAGCACCGTGGCACGCATGTGAATGGGCCCGTACGACGTCGTGGGGCGGAAATCCAGGGACCACGTTTTGGGACGCAGTAAATGCAGCGGTTGGAGACGCGTTTTGGGCACCGTGCCTACGCGTTCACTTCACTTCGTTGCGGTGGCCGTTGTCGTCGTCTTCGTAGGGAGGAAAGTCGACGACATCTACCTTCTCGACGGCCTTGAACGACGGGTAGAGGCCCTGCTTCCCGGTGCGGCGGTTCACCCCCTTGGAGTAGCCGTCCCAGTGGTTGCCTGCGATGCCGAGGATGTCGCCCTTGCGGATGTCCATCTCCGAGGCCCCGCGGGCGGTGTGGTCGTACGCCGCCACCTGGCTGTGGTCCTTCTGACCGCCGAAGTAGTATATGTCGTCCAGCGACTGGAACCGCTTGGACGCGTCAACGTGCGACAGCTGCATGATCTCGTACGCCATGCGGCACACCTGGGTTCCAAAATGAAGCAAAACAATGGCAACATTCTTTTTTTTTGCGCCCTGTGCTTTTTTCTTTAATTTGCTACAGAACATTTTGCAAAGGCAGGTGATAATGAGGATTAAGTGCTTTAATGGCTCAAAATGCAATGCAGGCCATGCAGCACCAACAAAGGTTTAATTAACAAATGGCAGAAATATTTTAATTTGAAAGGTCTATTGTAAGAGTAAGAAACTGCAGTGTTAAAGGGACACTGACAACCCCCATAAAAATATTTATGCTTTTCCAGGCGATCTATTATGGTGTTGGAAGACTACCCAATCAATATTTTGCTACAGGATCACATACATTTTTATTAAAATAAAAAAATACAACTGCTCGAAACCGAAAGTGGACTGGGGCGGAAGAAGAAATATAGAGGAGGAGAAAGTTACCGGAAATCACGTGGCTGTGCTACTTTTTTGCTTCAATAAACATATTTGCAGTTTTTAGAAGCCACGAAAATGGGGTGCTATAGTTTTTGTTCATTTTTAGTATTGAGTATCTGCCTTCGATGACCCACGACTTTGATTATCTTTGGTGGTTGTGTCAAAACCGTAGAAAATGGCACGTGACCACGAAGAAGAGAGTGGGTGCGACTCAAACCTTCTCGATCGGCGGTTTTTGGACAAAAAGGAAACAAATTTCGAGCTGCAAATTGTGTTCTGGGTAGTTGGGTTCTCATGTCATGTACAAATAAAACATTTGGCGAGCATAAATACCCTGTCAGTGTCCCTTGAAGGGCCTATGACTGGTGCAGAGAGCCAGTTTGTACGAGAAAGTGTAAAACATTACCGAAAAGAACCAAGTGCTTATCTCCGCGCATAAAGTGTCTATGATATGGAAGGTGATGTACGAAAAGTTGGAAAAAAAGACGCTTGACATTCTTCATCAAAGGATCTGCAGAGCCATGAAATGTGCAATATAGCTAATAAACCACCACAATGTTTACAAGGTTGACTGTCTTCATTACAAAGAAGGTATTGACAGGTTTGTTATAGCAAAAGATGAAGAAAACAAAATAGTAATGGAAAAGTTTAACACATAACTTCCCCACTACATTTAGCGGCAATGCTTTAATAGACCTCTTACCAAATTAACCAGGTACAAAGAAGAATGCTGGGGACGTAGGTATGCACGCTGCATGAGCTTGCCTTACCAGTATAAAAGATTCAAAGAAAACATTGAAGTAAAACGTAAACAAACTCGTTTAAAGAACTAATAGTGTTGCGCTTGAGATAAATTATTGCTGTAGACGCCAGCACGTGCAGCACATGTATGTGACTACACTTCCAGCATGCACCTTGGTGCTTGGGTAATTTAGCAAAAGGATCATTGATGTAAAACTGTGCACCACCTGAGCCTTCCCACCAAATTTTGACAGAAATCAAATGAAAAACAGAAATGCAACAAGCATACAAAAATTTCACCCCACATTCAGTGCACCTGAGCTATTTAGAGATCAAGCACACTTGCAATTCGAATAACCTTTTTTGGGTCACTTGAGTGTACTGCCCCAAGGTTAGGTCGGGCAATGCTGGGCCTGTTCAACCATGGTACCTAGAACGCTGCTTGGACTGGCGTGTTTACATTCCAATACCGCCCCCGTATCCAAAAGTGGTCCCAAAGTCGCAAGATACAGTAGGCTCGTGATAATTCAAACTCGGATATTTTGTACTTCCGGTTAATTCAAACAAATTTTAATATTTTTGTTGTCCCGCTATGGTCTTAATGTATTCATAAGCCACTTAATTCGAAAGGAATTTTCGTGTCATTCATACTTTTTGTTCCCGTGGCCCCGCTGAGTGCGCTTTTTTCCGAGCACCCGTGCACTGCAGAGAAGCAACACCCGCAGAGCTTGCTTTCGCGGGTGCTGCCTCTCCGCAGCGCGCAGGTGCTCGCTTGCTTGGCGAGAGGCGCACTCGAGGAGGTTCAAGCGGGGCAGAGCAGTGTATAGAGAGAGATGGAGGAGCGGGCAGAGCCAGGGCATGCATCAGACGAAGATAGGGGGCTTGGCATGCTCTCTTGGCCAACCAGAAGCCGAAAAGAATACCCCTAGCAGTGGTAGCAAGAAAGTTTTAATAAGAGTGGAAGGGTTAAATGTAGTAACAGTTAAAAATATGGTGCATGTGATGTTTCGATTATGATCATGCAAAAAGATGTAAGAAACAAATGTGCCGCCCCAACTCTGTTTTGCTCGGACAGACTGTGACCACTCGGACGGAAAATTCCCGGCCTTCGGCGCCTGGCATACAGATTATGTCAATCATTTTGCTAGTCGCGCTCTTCCATCATGGTTTTGGATGACTGATTGAAACATCACATGCATATTTTCAGTCACCGAGGGTTACTCCAACGCACTTATTAATTTTGTTTCCCGCGACCACCAGCAGGGTATTATTCCAGGCTTCTGGTTGGCCACATTCGAATATGTAAAGGCGCCCTGGAACACGCCCTGCCTGCTTTTGGCCAATGGCACCTCCTCATTTGGCTCCTATACTTCCCAATGAATGGCCAAACTCTCTTTATATAAGGCTCTGAAGGAGGGCACATATGAGCTATGAAAACGGGCACCATGCATAAATTTCCACAACTTCCACGAACACTGTGACGTGGCAGCGTGGCATAGATCCACGTCAGTGTCCACGCAAGTTGCTTTAAAAACTGCCGCGCATTTTCCGTTTTCATCGCTCATGTGTCTCTGTTTAATAGTTCACACTGGACAACTTCTTAGCCTCATAAGCAAAGTGAATTTCGTTTTGAGTTGTCCTGAGCTGTCTAAATAGGTAGTCCACAACGATCGTTTTTGAGGGATAAATAAACTTTTGTGATACATTTCGCAAATGTTTCATATGCAGCATACTTGCTTGTGATCAGTAGGCCTACGTAAAGGTAATCATCAAATATCTGCTTTGTGTGTGTACCCATTCATGCGGAAAATCATAATTTTATATTGGAGGACACTTAGATGAATTTCTGATAATTCAAACAAAATTTGGCACATCCTGGAGTTTGAATTAATGAGTCTAATGTATTTTGTCATGGTAGAGTAGTGGAAACACAATCACCTCTGTCTTGTTAGCATTCTATTCCACCGTTATAAAATATACCTTCTACCATTTCAGCAGTGTACGGAAGCACAATTTTAGCGCCTATTTCTTTGTGTAGACATGGTCTCCTTCATAACAGCAGCTCAGAAACACCTGTCTTTCATCCGTAAACGCAAGAAAAGCAATTTTAAAACGAATAAATTGATTTCCCAGTACTACCTGGTAGGGGGGGGACCGATCGCTTTATTGTAAAGTCCGATGTCATGGGGCCATCAGTAGCAGTGCCACGGCACAGCGTGTCCGATGAAGGCGCCCGGGAATAAGCGGCGCTTGTCACACCTCTCAGTTCTAGTACACCATACCTCGGGTATTCCCACTTGGCGGGACAGTAATGCGTTGACGATAAAGCCGGCGCCACCTGGTGGCGACTACCGTAATTATGGTACCCTTGGCCGTTTATGGGCCCGTGACGTTGCAAGCTTGACGTACTGGGAAAATATCCCGAGACGCATTGTACCGCCTCGTTGGCTGATTTTGAAGTGCTCCCCAGAATCCGTCGGTTGGAATGAAAAATATAGCCATACGCTGAAAATTCAAGCGTGTGATTATCATTTACGGATATCATGGATCATACTTCACCCGTTTCGAAGTGCTCCAGGAATATTTCAGGTTTCGATTATGATCATCCTTTTAATCTGTACCCCTTTAATAGTTCACACTAGACAACTTATTAGCCTGCTTTGTATGTATAGCAATTAATATGGCAAATCATAATTTTATCTCGCACGATACGTATTTAGATGAATTTCTGATAATTCAAACAAAATTCGTGGCTTCCTGGAGTTTGAATTAATGAGTCTATTATGTCATGCGAGATGGCATGTCACACTATTGGATGTTGCAAATCTAAGGGTTGACCACAGAAGTTCCGACCAAAACTACGATCTAAGGCAAGAGCAGCTGTCATCGCTGCGTCCCATGTCCCGGCTGCCGAAGCTACTGTGGACCGTCACGCTGCAGAGCGACCCGCAGCAGATCAGGCACCTGCCGCATACACTTCCGTTGATGTGCCACCATAAGGATCACAGCAGACAACAGCATGACACTTTTATGACACCGGTGAGCAGAAATCGAGGGACCACAGACAAGGATGCCACAAACACACCAGTCAAAGACGGACTCCAAGCACCGTAGTTGAACTACTATGGAGCCTGGAACGTGCTTTCGACCAGCGTGCTTACCGTGTCCTAATTTGTGGCCCCTCTATTTTTGCCTTAAAACATCACAGAGGTGTTATGCCGTGGCCTGCCACAATCTTGGTAACGGCACAGCAGTGGAGGCGGATGTAAAAGACTCCTGTTTCGCTGCAGGTCGTTCCCCGGCTCGACAGCCGACGGAAGCTTCGGCTACCAGGAGTTTTAAAGCTTTGACGACCAGTGACGCTCGCACTCCCCCGTACTTTCTGCCTGAGCTTCTACGACCGAGTTCCAGAATCGCGACGTCGCATGACAAGCCGGTTCTTTCAATGCGATTTGTTTCCACTTTGGGGCCACTGCCAGTCGAAAGTGCGATTCAGGCACCGTAGTAGAGTCGAGTCAAGTCATAACCGTTCTACCAGCCGGTGAGGCGTGACTGAGGCCGTCCCTCACCTGGGAGGAGAAGGTGCAGGAAAGGAAGTCGCACTTGGAGAGCATATGGATGTCCAGGATGATGCCCCTCAAGGACTCTGAGGTGTACCGGTTGCCCAGGGACGCCGTCTTGGCCACCTGGCTGTCTCCGTAGAACTGGTAGTGCGGGTACCTAGCAACCAAAGTGGGGGAAAACTCTGAAGTTTGACGTGTGTGGACGACGCATCGCTTCTTCCGGTCCATATAAGTTTATAAGAAAAAAAGAAATCTATTTCTGTGTCTAGATTTTGATGTTTCTCAGCCAGCTCGCCCACATACCTTTGCTTCTTGGTGTACAGTGCAATCCACTTGTAACAATAACGAAAAAACCGGAAATTTCAATCGTTGCAGCTATGATTCCGTGTTTTCAAAGTTTATTTTTCGTCAAATTCAAAGGGTGTTTTTCGGACTTTATTTTTTTCTGAAAATTTTGTGTTTATAGTTTATTTTTGTTTGATTCCAAAATCTCCAAAATTCGGAGCTTAATTTCGCAGTGTTGTTTTTAAAAAATAAATAAATAATATTCGGGTGTAAACATCTGCTAGATAAAGAAAATAAAATGCGCTTATATCAATTAATGTTTCTTCAGCTGGATTTGGTGTTGGTGCCATCGCCAATGACAACACTAATTTGTCCCACGGCAAAAGTTGCACACATGGGTGGCTTTGATAAACTTCGATATCCTAAAAATAAACCCCAGGGCCCGTTTGCTCGAACCACTAACCGCGGCCAAAGTTAGCCGCAGTACCTAGGAGAGGGATTTTGAGATCACGTGACTGGCTCGGTAGGGATGCGGGGAAACATGGCGGTGTCCCAGTGAGTGAGTGCCGCTCGCTTTGGAACTAATATGTCGTTGTGGTTGCAATATCGGGCACGTTAGTCAGCAACGAATGGTGCAGGAGGCTTTCGCTTTGCCTTACCTTACTTAAACCGCAAAGCATGGGCAATGATATCGCCACATTTTTTAGATAGTGTTTCGATTCTTGACACTCCTAAGCCTAAATGAACGCGATAATTGTCGGCATGACAACATCTTTGGAAAGCGGATTGTTGATAGCACACAAAAGCAGACGGCGTCCCAACAGACCTTTTTTCTAAATTATCCAAGCATCGCGAGGAGAACGCTGGACGTTTAATTCTACGGTTCACGCGCGCTGGCCTTCCCCTTATAAAAGATTTGAAGTAAAAATTCATAATAAGGCTTTAACGAACGCGCGTGCAAGGCAAAATTTATTTTATACTTTTTGCTTTAGAACGGTTACCACTGCAGACGCCAGCACGTGCGACGCGTGCAACTACAGTCGTAGCGTGCACCTCGGTGCTTGGATAATTTAGAAAAAAGGTCTCTTGGGACGCCGTCTGCTTTTGTGTGCTATCAACAATCCGCTTTCCAAAGACGTTGCTATGCCGAAAATTATAGCGTTCATTTAGGCTTAGGAGTGCCCAGAATCGAAACACTATCTAAAAAATGTGGCGATGTCATTGCCCATGCCTTGCGGTTTAAGTGAGGTAAGGCAAAGCGAAAGCCTCCTGCACCATTCGTTGCTGACTAACGCGCCCGATATTGCAACCACAACGACATATTAGTTCCAAAGCGAACGGCGGTCACTCACTGGGGCACCGCCATGTTTCCCCGCATCCCTACCGAGCCAGTCACGTGATCTCAAGATCCCTCTCCTAGGTACTGCGGCTAACTTTAGCTGCGGTTAGTGGTTCAAGCAAACGGGCCCTGGAGGTAGTCACTGGGAAGCACGTATTCATCCCATCCTATTCTATGCTACCCCGTGGCTGCACGAGGTGGAGTAGTAAAGGATGTCATAAGGAACTTTCAGCTACTCCTCTTCCCAATTTTATGCAATCTCTATGGTCCATAACTTTCCCCACTCTTACAAAAACACAACCTCTCCTTCCTCTTAAAACACAAATAGCATGGCCCAAACTAGAAACCAATAAATACAAAGGCTTTTTTTGTGTCCCGAGAGTACAATGACATGTCATCCTGAACCTTGACAAGATAAGCGGTAAGACCCCTTTTGTCAATGATCTGAGATTTGAAAAATAACTGTGGTGGCATTTCCCCGGGACCATTGACCCTGTGTGCCGAACAAAACTTAATTGTACAACACCGTCTTTATTTTATTTTATTTTTTTTTTGGAGGGGGGAGGGGGAGGGGGAGAGGAGAGGGGGAGATGAGAGGAGGGGGAGGAAGCGTTGGCACGTCAAAATTCAGAGTTTATCGAATAAATCCGAATCTACCAAAATTTTTCGGATTTGTTTGAAAACACTGAATTCTAGTTATAACCGATTATCATTGTATCTAGACTAGAATCTGATCGTTTCTAGACTAGAAACTGATCGTTATAAGCAATACATCGTTATATGTGGTATAAGTGGATCGCATTGTATATAAGTTGCACCTTTGCATAGGTCGCTCAACTCGACATTCTCGTGCTTAACTAGAGACCTTACGATAATCAGCTGAGCTTAGTTCGTTAGTCCAAGCAAGAAAAGCAATGAGGCGAGAGAGCCACAGCCTACTTTTGCCTTGCCTCTCCCAGGAGCTTCGGGTCGTCGGTGGCGAGGTAGACACGTCGCTTTACACCGGGCGTCTGCAGCTCGAGCTTGGCGAAGTAGTCGTCCACAAACTCCATGTACTCTTCAATGCTGTGGAAGTCGGCCTCCGTCCCAATCTTGTCCGTCCGCCTCACGTGCACCCTGCGTCGTGGGGAGGCCAGTCGCCGAGAATAACGGTCCAGTTTCGGTTTAAATTCTCGGACATCCCTCCCAACCTTTGGGGATTGACGTTCTCAGATCGACAGGGTTGGTCTAATTCATTTTAAAACATTCTTAAGCGCAGAATTTATCTAAGTACCCTATGTCATTATGAACCATAAAGAACAAGGGTTTGCTCTATGATCGCTGACAGCTTCAGAAACGCAAGGCGAGGCAAGTTCTGAGCATCTCATTATTGTTCCGCAGCCATAAAAACTGTGGCATTAGCAGATGTGAAGGCCAAAGAATGACTCGTCAAACAAAAACATAATATGGGGTGCGAGTGGAGAAGAGGAGAGGAAGCGTGGGTAAAGGGAGTGATAACGTGTGCAAGGAAGCTCCACCCCTACAGCTGTTTTTTGGTCTGGAACAAACAACATCTTGGCCATGGGTGTTGCTCATTTGTTACTGCGTATCTGGAGTTGTTAGTCGACAAAAAAACATCTACTCTTCAAAATGTTTTCTCTCCCCTTTCTCAAAGGGTGACTCCTCATTCGTAAAGTGGGGTGTTCAACATCTGAATGCCTCACCTCGACACCGCTCGTCCCTCTGCGTGAGGAGCAGACACTCTTGCTCGCTCTGATTGGAGGCATGCAGCAGGTAGAGACAAAGGCAGCTAGCCTTTGCGCCTAGCCACTAATCTTCCACTCTTCCTCTAATCGGAGCGAGCAAGACTGTTGTCTGCTCCTGGAGCATAGGAAGCACTGATGCCAAGGTCTGGCATTTGGGCACCAAACACCGGTGTTGTCTGCTACTCCTGGCAATGGCTGCCTTACCTTTTTTATGGCTTTCAGAAATCCACTGCTTCTGTAGGAACAAAGACTTGGCTTTCGAGACAGGGGAGAGAAAATACCTCTAAGGGTACATTATTTTTGTCAACTAACAACTACCAGATACACTCCCACGAATGAAGAACCCACGGAAAACATGTTGTCTGCCACGGACAGACGAGCAGTTTTAGGGGCGGAGCGTGAATGCACACGTGACCACTCTTCCTCACCGCTCTCCCTTTCCTCCAATCCTCCATTTGCTTGCTGTATATTTGAATTACTAGAAAGCGTGCAGAGAAGGGGAGGGGGGCGAGGTTTGGAATCCATTACCCAACCACAGGTCGCTTGAAGTCCATATCCTTCTCAGCCTTGGCCAGGTACTGCTGGATCTCGGGCTGGGGCCGCATGAGGAAGCGGATCGCCTGAGAGATCCACCAGAGGGCCGGGTCTCCCACTAGGCGGATGAGTCGCTCGGAAAGGTCCTTGGGCACCGCCAGCGGGAGGTACTTGGGCCTTGGCTGGATGCTGTCGATGATCGGAACTTCGAGGACATCCGCACCATCGTCATGACCTGCGCGCCCGGAGAAACGTAAGTCGTGGGTCACAAACTCCTCATCACTCGATGCCCCACAGCACCCTCAATCACAAAATTCGGTGTTGTTGTAAGGTGCCTGCAACGTGTCTCTGACTGTTGCGTCCAGCTAGAACCAGTTTCATAACCCAGACTGACTTGCACTTGGATTTAACTATGGTGCTTGGAACGCATGGCCGGCTGGAGTGTGTACCACGTCCTCAAACGTGGTCCTTCTATTTCCGCCTCATGATGTCACAAAAGTGACATCATCGCAACCCTCATGGTGGCATAGCAGCGTAGGTAAATGCGGCAAACGCCTGTTCTGCTGCAGGTTGCTCTACAGCCAGATGGTAGACAAGAATAAAGCAGACACGAGATGGGACGCTGTAACAGCAGAAACCTTCGCATCCGCTCGTCTTTTTTCGCCGGTATTTCTACAAAAATCTACCAGGAACGCTGGCTCTCGCGACATCATGTGTTGCTATTTCAGGACCACTTTCGATGCACAGGCAACATGGGACGTTAAAGGGACCAGTCCAAAACGCATTTCAGGCACCAGACTCTGGAACAGGGGTGGCCAAACTGCGGCTCTTGGCGGCTCCAAGCGCGGCTCGCAACTCCCTGGTAAGCGTTCCCCCCCTAACCCTCCTGTATGCCCAAAACAAAACAAGTTCTAGAATCTAAGAAAAGCTTAACAGTCTTGGCAGCCCTGTACTACACTACATACATATGGCTGGGCTGCTTTTTGACACACAGATGTGTCCAGTGACCCTATTTCCTTTATTTTTAGAATGAATTTCGAACCGTGCATTTATTTTGCTTAGCGGTTAAAGAATAATTCTGCTGCCTGGTGTCATTTGTTGTAGTCGACAATTATACTCGTCTTTTTTGGAAAGGACCGTTCCCTCCATATAGTTTCTTGTTAAAAGTAGCACCCCCCCCCTTTCTTTTTCGTGCGACTCTCTGAACTTTCGTAGTTTTATCCGCGGCTCTAACCCCATGTCACTCTGGCCATCCCTGCTCGAGGGTCTAGACGTTGCAAACGAGATTCTCGGTAAAAGATGCAAGTCGACGGTCTCCGCTCCCTTTTGTAGCTGCGGTGGGTATGTCTTGGAAACGTGCACACTGGGTGGAGGTCTCACCCGACCAAGTGGCCCTGGTCCCCCCGGTCTCCTCGACGCAGCTGTTGCTGACTGGCTTGAAGACCGTCTCCCAGCCACCGGCGGCATAGCGCCACCCCTTGGAGTGGAGCACCATGGTGCGTCGGGTGCCGTACGCCATGATGAGGCAGTAGGTGGCGTGGTGGATCTGGCACCCGTAGCCGCACCCCTTGTTCAGGCGGCACAGCAGGCGCTTGGCGCTGCCGCACGCCTTGGGGTTCTGAAACGTGCCAAGCGGGGTTGCAGGGTCCCATCCAGAGTGCGTGGCAGAAAACGGCCCATACATTATTGTATATTGCGAGAAAAGGTATGGCCTCCACTGATATAAAAGACCCATTGGCCAACGCACTTTATACGGCGGTACTAAGCATATGTTGGCCCTATGCACTATATTTTTAGAGCGAGTATAGAAGAAAGGTTCATTTTTTACCCCACCCCGAGCAATGTGAGCCTGGTCACAGCGAATCCTGCACAGCCGCCTGAAACTATGTTGTCAAATGGGTCTTTCCTAAAATTTAGTGTTTCTCTTTACCACCAATTTATATGCATTGCCAAATGCTTAGTGTCTGCTCAAATGTAGCAATAGCAGCCCAGACCAGATGCCAACGTTTCAGAGCTTGCCCTTATCTAATTGAAAAGTTATAAGCAATATTTGAAAACTTTCAATAAAAAATTGGCAGCCAATGAAGTCCACAAATACGATGGACGGCGTGAGCTATTAAATTTTTTAGAAAATTAAAAAAAAGAGCCCCATTCCCCCATTGAAATTTGTAGAAAATCGCTCACAACTTTTGAACAACGGTTAGTGTCAAAGCTGTGGCATCTGCTCCAGGCTGGTAGCACTACATCTGGGCAGAGAGAGAGCGTTGGGCACTGCAAAATTAACTTTTGCGTCAGAAAAAAGTTTTGAGAGGCCTGCGTTGGCTATATGTATATAAGACACAAGCACATAATTATAAAAGTGTACAGCTTTAACTTGAGATAAAAAGGTTCCTTTAAGGATACCGAGACACACGCTAATGAAGTTGCAAGGTCTGACCTCGACTTTTCAGCAGAAAAGTTGCCCATGCTTTGCCCCACAAGCGCAGGTGCAAGACACAAAAACATCTATATGTCAGCTTACGGCTAAGCGATCTCAAGTGAAAACAGTTCTGTTCTATTAATATTAAGAATCAACTTTAGGGGCCGCCAGTTCAAAGTCTAAGCCCTAGACAATGGTCAGAGTTAAGAGAGAGCCTCCAAAACAACTTAGCTGTCAAGGAGCTGGTGGCAGTGGCATACACAGTAAAGGAACGGTCGGAGTGATGATTCTGAATGCAAGCATCTGCCCCTCTTAGCATAGTTTAAATTGATTGTAAACAACAGAAATGCTCTGAGAAATGTATCTGTTACCACGGGGGTTTTCGGACCTCTCTATTTCGAGGAACATGCATCGCTCTTGACCAATGGTTGAGGAATACCTCCCCGTCTCGGTATAGACCCTTTCCAGAATTCAGTCTGGCCACTTTGATCACTATCATCATCATCATCTGAAAACGGAATATGAGCTATACTAATGGCGGCCTTCTGTTTACAGATGAAGGAAGAAGTTGAAGATGCTCCTAAGCAGATGATTCGATGCCTTTACATTCTCGACGTTAGCGTGACGTGAAGCAGGAATTGGACGCAAGAGCTGCGTAAGCGTTCATTCCTAACTCGGTCCCAGTCAATCTGTTAGTAGCACTCACTCGGCTTCAAAGCACCTTGATGTATAGGACTCTATCAATGCGTCTATATGGGTTGGCGCTTCGTTCCAACTGGCTGCATTTGGTTCGCCATCGACACTAAAAGAGATTGAAAAATAATTGTAGTGAAGTGCACATTCTCGTTTACCGTTGACCTTTAAATGACGGTGCTTCATTAAATACTGCAGACCACAGGTTCATTGCCGCCATTAGTATAGTAAAAGATAAACTGCCATTTTAGTCACCAGATGGCACTGAATTCCGGAAAGGGTCAAAAGACTTTATAAACAATAATGATCATATTAGGAGTGTCTGTTGTTGCCCTGGAAATAGCTACCAGCATCTGTTGTTTGTGGGCGAGCTAACTTTGGTAGCAAGCATTCGTTGACAAATAAACTACCAAGAACTAAGAGGCAAATCATACTAAGAAAGAGCGGCAAAGCAGCAATATGATCCAAAGTGGAAGATACTGTCAAAGGGGTGCCACTGAAGATAGCACAATATCACGTCACTGGGCAGGACCAATCGTAAGCCCTGTTTTGGGTCTCATCCAATAAAATCACCCATACCAATTTTTTTTTTAATGTTTGCTGTTTTTTTGGTTATTGAGATGTTGAAACTTGGAAAGCCTCTACGAGCTAAATTTTGAGTAAATGACACTTCCTGTGAGGGCGAGATGTTCTGGCTATGTTAAAAGAGTTAAAGAGCAGCGCTAAATACTATAATGTAAAAATTTGCTAGCCGCTGACTCTGAGGGCTGCCGGCATGCCGAAAATAATTTATTGTGAGATATATCTCGCATGTATATAAGTGAAAGTTTCTGAAACCATTCTTTGGAAGCTAATAAACATGAACATATCATTTTTAAACAAAACTTTTTTTTCTGAAAAAATTTAGATTCCGAGGCCATATCTCCCTTAAACTGGAATAATGTTTCACTTGGGGTAAGGGATGGCCAAAAAAACTTGAGCCTGGGGAACCCCATAGGGTGCCACGAGAACACCTGTGTTCCTACGAACTCAGTTTGAGAACCCACAAAGTAACTTGTGAACGGACAAGTAGCGACATGCGACGACATAACTTTGTACAAGGCTAAGCACTACATGGCTCGGCTCGAGGCTTACCTGCAACTTGGTAAGTCGCTTCTGCACGAGGTCCCCGACCGTTTTAGACTCCTGCTCGCGCCACTTCTCGTACCCGTCTGCTTTCCGCATTTCGTCGAGGTCGATGTGGATCGTGCTGCGGCAAGGTGGCACAACGCACTCGTCAAGGCCAACTTGCGCGCGCGGTGCAGTGTTGAGACGACGCAAAAGTTGGTGCTGTGTCGGGGCTACTGTCAGCACTGACTCGGCGCTGATTTATCGCTGAATTTTGTGTACACGCTGGAGAATGCAGGGAGACATGCAGAGAAGTGCTGATACGATATTGACATACATACCTACCGTATATTTTTCGGACTATACATGTTTAAAGGGACCATGAAGGCAGTTTCGAAGTTTTATTCGACGATTGAAATGGATGTCAGGCACGTCTCAGATACTGTTGACCAAGTTCTTGCCCGAACAGCAATTTGGGTGCCGCACCAATCGAGCAAACAGGCACGGTAATAAAAGCGCCGGGAACGATGCCTGAGACCTCATCGAGGCGGCGGCAGAAAGGTGAATTAAAGTGCGCCGTCGAAGCGCGACGACAACGGGCTCCTCGTCTGGCGATTGGTTCAAACGATAGACGCGCTCTTGGTTTCGATTTCGGTGGTGAGATGTTATGAAAAAAGTTTATTTGAACGTTGGATAATATTTTGAAGTTGTAGTTGGGAATTAATAGGTTTCATACCATGTATAAAAGCATAATCTGAAGCGATCCCTCCGTTTGTCACTGGTTGAACGCATCCCGCACTGCTACCTCGGGCGCGTAACAAGCATCGAGCAACCATGAACAAAAAAAAAAGAAGAAGGTACGAGCGCCGGGGGCGGCAAACTTTTGGTTTTGGTTTCGTGCGTCGTCTCGTGTTCGCTTTGCGAACTGGTGTCTCACCAATCATGCCGCGTTTATGTGCAGTAGTAGGTTGCGCGAAAGGTCGGCTAAAGGCTTGCGGTCGATCGGGCGACGTTAGTTTGCATAAACTGCCGACCGATGCAGCAATGCGCAGCATTTGGTTGCGCGCCGTCGTCTTGCGTAGAGCTGTGGACAGCGGTGTCAGGATTTGTTCGTTGCATTTCCGACCAGAAGACTTTGAGCAGCACCTTCACGTCAGCTGGAGTCTGGGTAAAAGTGGGGCGGGGAGTCGCTCTGAGGCGGCGACCGAGGAGTTGGTGGTAGGTCTTGGGCGCCCTCGTAAAGCGCCAATCCAGAGTTCTGCGTCCTTAGCAGCGTCTCCCGTTCAGTCGGCGTGAGGTCGCTGAACGGGAGCTCAAACTCGTTTGCGAGCGCAGCGTTGTCGTCCATTTCTTTCAAGTTTTCTTCACAGACCGCCGTGCACTAGAGCAAACCACGGGAACCACACTGAGTGTGCACTAAATCCTACCGATGCCGACAGTGCTCCTTGACGTCACTTCTCTTTCCAGAGGTGAAAAAGGGAAGAAATCAGAATGTTTGTTTCGGTTTCGCAAATTTATTTGCAAGTACATAAATAAGAGTCACAACGTTCTAGAAAAAGTTGTGTGGCATGCCAGGATCCCAATGCTTCTGAAAACACCTTATTTTTAAGAAAAATTAAATTGCCTTTATGGTCCCTTTAAAGGGGCCCTGCAACAACTTTTTGATTGATTTTTGATTTGCACCGATCCTGAGCGCACTGAACGTAGTAACTTAATGAAACTTTTCTTTTCTCAAATTTCGCTTTATTTTAAAAGTTATAGGCAAATTAGGATTACAAAAACAAGCAAAAAATAACCTCCTTCATGACGTAGTAGGTCCTGGCTTGAGCGGCCGTGAACTAGAGGAGGGATAGTGAGCTCATCAAGTGCTCACGGCTGTTGCACTCCGTGTCGACGACTTGAGAGGGCGCCACTAAAGCACGTGTTGGATAGGCTGTATGAAGCGGACGGTCAGGGCGGCTGCATTGCATTTGCTGCACGATTAAACTAATTTGGCATAACACTTCATTGGCCACAAACGACAGGAAACACGGGGTAAATATCAGTTCAGAGCGGGAGCCACTTCACGCTGCCATACATCCAAATGGCAAAATCGCAAGCAAAGCTCGTGCCGAAAGCCTTCGAAACGCTCGGAACCGGTCGGATCCTCGACCGCAGCGCCGCCGCGTACATCCGGAACCTTTCTACGCACGCCGTTCGTCGGAGCCTCATCCCACTGGCCCTTTCTAGTATGCACCTTTTTTTCCGCCACATGGTGGCGGGTATGTCGACGGGTCATTTCTTGTTTCCGTACTTTATAAACTGCATTTGTTTCTTTTCTGATCTCAAATACCGAACAAAAACTACTTTCACACATAATTGAAACGGTTCGCGACACTTATATTTTGTATCTCGACTAAAAACGTTTTTAGCTGCTCTGACCAGTAGTAAGCCCAGGACCAAAGACGTCAGATATTGCGCGCTTTCGCCAACGCGGGACGCCCCTGTAGGTGGAGGAGGTTTGCGCGTCGTCCGGTTAAAATATGACGCACTGATATTTAGTTACTCTCTCCGTGCCCGCTGGCTTGCCCGAACCCCAAGAGATCTGGAAACCGCAAAAAAGGTAGACGCTTAAATATGATTGCAGGGCCCCTTTAAGGAGAGACACTGGGTAGAGATTTAACTTCCGAACTACTCAAGTGATCAGAATGAAATTTGCACAGGAGATGTGTCAGGTGTATGTGTATTGTGCAAACTTTCAGCTCTCTAGGACAATTAAATATACCTGTATAAGATGATGTGTCAGTCTTCATGAAGAAATCTATGATATGAAAATGAAGCAATTAAGCACCATTTTGACTACTTGAATATAAATTGGGGGATGTGGGACTTTGGGCAATCCAGTTTTTATAACTCAAATGTAATATTTCAGGAAGAGTTATTACCTTAAGATATGGGATGTGTATCTGTCGTACGTCAATTTTTGTAAACCTAGTTTTTTCTCAATGAAGACTTCAACCTAAAACGAAGTAGATAGCCCAGTACCCCAGTAAATTTCAGTTCAGAAACATCTTGATTGTGGCATCAGAATACTTTTACCTTTAAACATAAAATTTGTTTGTATGAAACTTGCAGCAAAAAATGGAACTGAAGAAAATGCATTCAAACATTGAACCCCTTTACTTTGTTACTGCCTCACAATGTGTTGAAAATATTTTATATCAAATTAATTATTTCGCATACGGCTATCAAATTTAGTTTAAGATTGTATAATTAATTTCTGAAACCAAAGATCTCAAATTTGAAAATAATTATTTTCAAAACAATTTGAAATGTAGCCCTATGTCTCCCTTTAAAAATTGAAATTTTACCCTGTGCGAACTACCTACAGGTGCAGAATATGCAAAGATTTGTTTTTTCTAGATAGTTCACTGTACCAAGACGAAGAATTTTATGAATAACAGAGAATATTAATGGTGATTTGCGTATGATACAAGCTTCTTTGTGAGCTAACACAGCAGGTATTTGTCAAGGTGTGCTGTGTATGATAATTTTTATGTTTGAATCAGGCACCGAGTGCGGACTATGTGCTACCTGCGGACTATGCACCGGGTGCGGGCTATCAAGCAAAATTTTTGACTCCAAATTTGCTTTTGCGGAATATACAACAGGTGCAGACTAGAGTGCCTTCATGAAGCGAAACATGAAAGCACCCTGGTGCATTCTATAGTCCAGAAGATACGGCACAGTTCAAAGTCAGTACTGTGTCTATAGCACTAAGCTGGAGCAAAGTCAGTTGCTGTGCTGAAGCATGACTGACTGATTCTTGTGACTTTGTGTTAAGCACTGGTTTGTTTTACTTTTATCGATCCAACCATATAAAAATCGCTTATAAGGACCATTTAAAAACCATAAAGGAATAACTTATAAGAACCATGTAAGAAAATCATATAAAAACCATATGAAAACCACTTACGGGAACCATGTAAGGATCTCTCGTAAGAATCACAGAAGAATAACTTAAAAGAGCCATTTAGACCCCTATGAGAATAAGAACCATTTGAAACCATATAAGAATAACTTATAAGAACCACTCATAATAGTCATAGAAGGGAATCTAATAAAATCCATACAGAAATAGCCTATAGGAGCCATATGAGGATCACTAGTAAGAACCACCATTTAAAAACCATATAAAATAACTTACAAGAACCATACAAGAAAAAAAATCTTATAGTAGGAATCATATCAGGATCACTTATAACAACCACATGAGGTTTACTTATCCACACAAGTATCAGTTATAAGAACCGTAATAAGAATCAAAGTTCCCAAGTGGGCGTGCAGTCACCGTTTATAGACGGAGATGTCCTCCACTATGGCATCCACCGTCTTCTGTGCTTCGGGCCCCAGGGACTTGCGGAGTTTCTTGAGCTGCGCCCGGGCATAGTACCACAACTCCTGGACGCCATTAATGACCTTCCGCCGCAGCACTTCATACTCCTTGGACGGTACGCCACTAGGCGATGTTGTGGCTGCACGAAAACAATGATGAGAGCTCTGGTCTTGAACATTTCTATGCCGATTCTCAATCAATTTCTATTAAATTCTCACACCTACTGTACTGTAAGCATAATTTCCGATCCTATCGCATTAACTCAGGCGCTCACCCATATCAGCCGCTGCTCCTAGCACTCGGGTGAAAAGTGGTAATTATCCATGCGCGCAGGTGAGAGGCGGCATGGAGGCGTGCGGCAGGCATGATAATCAAGCAGTCTAGGACTTCAAGACCCTGGTTTTGTCTTATCAGAGTAACCGCCATCCTAGTATTCTTGGCGCTCAATCCGCGAGAGCATCAACCGGCCAGCACGGTTGACGTGCAATTCCTGAACCTCGTTTCACCTTATTTCAAAGCGCAGCAGACCCCACGAGCCAATGGTCAAAGTCAAATTTGGGGGTTTTACGTGCCAAACCTACGACGGGCATCTGGCATGCCTTAGCGGAGGACTGGGGATTAATTTGGGCCACCTGGGGATCTTTTGACGTGCAACCGAAAGACGAGCCAATGGTACCAACCAAACGGCATCAAAGAGCGACATCGTGGCATTCGTCCATCTTCCTGCGGGTGTTCTTTCATCGACTAAATCAATCAAGTACAGCAAATGCCCCGTGACTTATGCTTCTACTATGTGTGTTTGTGGTTTGTATGTACTTGAGCCTTCGACTGCGCTCTGACCTAAGTAAGATGAAACAAACTATACGGTGAGTAGGTGAGTAGAGATGCTGTGAAATATATATTTGTACCATTTTTCGTTCCTCCCAGTTTTCTCAATATTAAGGTCGACCAATAATAAGATATTTTGTATTTTTAGCTTGCAAGCCCATCTCGGCACAGGTTTGGCACAATTCTTAGCAAAAATGACATTTTGGTGCAAGATGTAGCAAACCCTCGTTTGTGGCGCAATTTGGTGCTAAAGGCACAGCGCTAACATCACTGCAGCCTGGATACGGAACCGCATCAATGTAACTAAATAAATGTGCACTTTCTGAGTGTAGTAATTAAAACATTGAATGTTTGTGACTTATAAAAAAAATATATATATATACAGTTTTTTTTTTTTTTTTAATTTTTGTTTACAAGATTAGGGGTGAAGTGCTTGGAGGTTCTAGGATGACACAAAGCACATGTAAAAAATGCTTCAGACATGAATGGCATTCTGCGCTCATCTCAATCGTGCTTATCCCTTATGACTGCCTGCATTCCGAACCTCCAAGAATGTTAAACCAGCTTGTGCTTCTGCATCTTCTGTACTTTGTGCTTGCACACTTTTTGACAACCCGGAACGAGCAAAGAAAGGACATTTCTTAAGAATATATTTGTACATATAATTTGAGGGGTCATGCGCAAGAACTGGGTGTGTGAAGGATGACACCTGTCATCTGAATTGAATTTAATAATGTTGATTTAGGAGGGAAACACTGAATTATGAAAAAGAGAAGGGTCTGTGAAACCGTTAAAAATTATAATTGAAAGCAGCACTTCACGAAAATGTTTTTATTCTTCACAACGACACAGGATCGCTACGTTGTCGCACTTGATTATTAACTGAAGAACTACGGTGGCTGCAACATTAAATCTATGAGTTTAATAATTAAAGCAATTATTAGAGTGCTTATGCAACTATATATACTGTCGAGACCGGTTATAACAAAGTCAACGGGAATCGGAAATCACTTTGCTATATCCGCTATTTCATTATAACCAACTTTGGTTAATGAATTGCAAAAGGGAATGGAAAATCGTGATCGCTTCGCTGTAGCCGCTATTTCATTATAACGGACTTCGTTATAACCGGTTCTGACAGTACACCGTGTCTTAAGGCATGTGAGCTTCATGCTGCCAATATAACAAATTTCAGTTTTATTTACGAGAGAAGGCAGCAGTAAGAAAAGCTTGTATTCCGTTGTTACAAACTATAATTACAAAACCGAACACAAAATCAGTTTCGCCTCCAAAGTACAACTTGAGAAAGCTTCGTAGCGACTGGCGCAACTTCCAGTCGGCTGAAATTCATTTTCGATTTTTAATGTGGACGAAGTAGCTCGAACCTCTCCTCGACAAACTGCTACGATGTTCTCCCTTGTTATCTGCTAAGTGATTCGTATGCATCGCTGCACTCTGTTTCGCATTAGATCCGACGTAGCTGACACTACGATCCGACCGAGCCAGTCGGGTGGCGTCAAAGGTGCATCATCGCGCCGCTCGTCGTCTTTGCGCGTTTGCTGTCACCAGCTAAATCGACTGCGCGCAGTGAGCGCGGCTTGATTCTGCGCTTTTTCTGCACGTGGCTGTCTAGCCGGCGACGGCGACCGCGCACAAAGACGACGCGTGCTGCGACGACACACTTTCAAAGCTGCTCGATCAGCTCCGTCAGATCCGAGCGTTGGCTGCAGTCAAACTTGCTAATGCGGAACGAAACATAAAAGACACGGCGTGCGTGTAGAGTTTTTTTTAAAACGGCATGCTCAATGTTACGGCGTGGAGAAGAAATGCCGGAAAATGCTCAGCACTTACTTAAACATCCCCGATCTTTCGTGTCGTAGCCCAATCTTCGTTTCCAGTCACACTGCGAAATCGACAGCAAGACATGACATCTTGTCGTCGATTTCGCAAGCTTGTGCCAACTCAATCCGTGAACAAGAGACAAAGAAGTCAGCTTGCCGGTATCTTCAAAGCGAGCCTCGTTGTTACGCATTATGTTTTAGTGCTATGGTTTAGTGTGTACGAAGAATCTGTGTGCTTTTAGCACTTACCTGTTTGGATGGGAGGAATCACTACTGCTGGCTCCTGAACCTGCTGCTCTCTTTTGGATGGGTCCCTACAAAAAAAGATTTTCGTAAAACAAATTATATATATATATATAATTAAATAATTTTATATCGATTTGTACTGTCATCCGTGCGTAAATTAAAACAAACGGGCGTCAACAAATCCTGAAATGGTTTCAGCTACAGAACTACGTCGACTAACAATGGGAATAATTACTCGAAATATACCTATGAGCTTCACCACACTGCATTTCACTGCATGTTATTGCTGCAGATGTTATTAGTACATTAAGGGGGCCCTGCAATAACTTTTTTTACTAATTTTTAATTTGCACCGAACCTGAGCGCACTGAACGTAGTAACTTAGTGAAACTTTTCTTTTCTCAAAATTCCCTTTATTTTAAAAGTTATAGGCAAATTAAAATTACAAAAACAAGCAAAAAATAACCTTCCTCATGACGTCCTTGGTTGCTCGAGAGTGGCCGTGAACTAGAGGAGAAGTAGTGAGCTCATTGAGCGCTCACGGTTGCCGCACTCCGTGTCGACGACGCGAGAGGGCGCCATTAGAGCGTGTTCTGGATAGGCTGTATGCAGCGGGCAGCCAGAGAGGCTCTCACTGCATTTGCTGCGCGATTAAATACTAATTCGGCATGAAATTTCATTAACCACAAACGACAGCGAACATGGGGTAAAGATCAGTTCAGAATGGGAGCTACTTTGCACTGCCATACCGCGAAACGGCCAAACCGCAAGACAAAGCTTCTCGCCGAAGGCCTTCGGAACGCTCCGGAGCCGGTCAGATCCTCCTACCCATACGACCGCAGCGCCGCCGCATACATCCGGGACCATTCCTTGTCGGTGCCTGATCCCACTACTCCTTTCTATTATGCACTGCCCTTTCCACCGCTTGGTGGCGGGTATGTCGACGGGTTATTTCTTGTTTCCGTACTTTATGAACTGCATTCATTTCTTTTTTGATCTAGAATACTGAACAAACACTACTTACAGACGTATATGAAACGGTTCGCGCCACTTATATTTTGAATTTCGACTAAAAAGAAGCTTCTAGCGGCTCTGACCAGTAGTAAGCCAAGGACCAAAGACGTCACATTTTGCGCGCTTTCGGTACCGCGGGTCGCCCTCGTCGGTGGAGGAGGTTTCCGTGTCTTCCGGTTAAAATATGACGCACTGATATTTAGTTACTGTCTCCGTGCCCGCTGGCTTGCCCGAACCCCAAGAAACGTGGAAACTGCAAAAAAGGTAAACGCTTAAATATGATTGCAGGGCCCCTTTAAATGGCCACCTATTTGCATTCAATTCTTCCCTGTACCAGTGCCGAGTTAGTGAACGTTCAGAAGTTGTGTATTTGGCACACAAAAATGTCATGCCGAAGGTGCCGTTATTGCATACATAAATGATGTGGCTCTACCAGTGTAATTTTGTTGGGGTACAGTAAACGTAAAAGGGAGAACATTACTCCAAAAGGCCACATTTTTAACTGCCTGATTTGTAGAAGCCTTGCAGGGCATATTCGTAGGGGTGAAATAGAATGCGGTGCGAAGTTACTACCTTATGATTTAATCCTTTGAAGCGTTACATAAAATACACCAATGCACCTGCCGAGGGAAACTATAGTAAAAAAAAAACTATAATAACAATGGCCAGTTGTTCTTTTGTGACACATACACTATAACACGTGTATCGCACAGCTTCAGAAACAAATTACGGAAATAATCCAATGTTCCATGAAACAAAAAAGAACACTTATTTCCAACCCACTGCATCTGTCACAAACAAGCATGAAAATAGAAAAGAAAAAAGTTCACAGCTGCATTCACTACAAAATTTTGATATGGGGGCATTAGCAACTGGCTCCACATTCTAACTTCATTACAAAACTACTATAGATTTCCTCGAGTGGAGTGGAACGAATGTTTAGTGAAATTCTTCGACGGCTACGAAATTCGATGCCAAAAAGTGAAACCGAGATAAATGTCTTTGGAAGATCAAAAAGTTTCGCTTCAGATGATGCCGGCAGTAAAAAGGTAAAAAAAAAGTTGCTAAATGTTGCAGAAGGCGCAAAAGCAATATCGATCTATAACCACCGGACTCTGCACAACACTTCTTTATTTCTCTCTCTCTCAAACCGTAGTAGACTAGACAGAAAGAGCCGGCACTTCTTTTGCTGTTCGGTGGGATCGTGTATACATCATAATGCCAATAAAAAAAATGCTTTAAAGGGGCCCTCCGGAGCGTTCTACGATGGTCTATTTATGGCGGTAACTCAATCTACAGGCCCTAAGGATCCTAAAAATCATAAAATTACGGTCATGCGCGGCGGATTTTCCTATTAAAATTGCTATCAAAGTCTGCGGCAAGCCCCCCCTTTCTGAGATGACCCCAGAAAATGGGAGGGGCATCTCTTCACGCGTCAGCCAATAGCAAGCGAAGGATTCGGGCGTCTTTGCGCGTCACCAACACGGCCGATCGCGAACCCGCGGAGGAATCTCTCCGGACTTTGTGCTCGGCAGTCGTCGTTCATCGCACCGCACGGTCGCGCTGCTACTGCAATACGCAGTCGCATTCCACAGATGACAAGGAAAAGTTTGACTCGTTGACGTGGAAGGATCGCAAAGCTGGCTTCGGAGTCGAGATCCACTGGAAGAAGGAACACGTGTCCCGCAAACGCATGCCTGCAGACGCCCCGGGAAGCAGACGAGCCGACACGCCGACGCATCACCCCCTAGCAACAAGCTTGCAGGGAGAAAACATAGTTCGCTGGTTTGGAGCGATAATTGCGGACTATGTTTCCCGCACCACAATCAGTTTACGTTTTTCTCAAACTCTAATTTACAACAAGCTTAAAAGATGTTGCAATAATAATGTTCGCATTCACCGCGAGATGCAGCATGTCCATTGGTCAAGTTTTAGCGATGGGCAGGGAATGGGGGATTGTCTTCCAAGAGAAAATAGTCCCGATATATTTCTTCTGCCATCTGCTTAATAAACGGTTTTGTAATCTAAAACTTTGTATGCATATTAACTTGCACCTACTACGCAATATAACAACATAAACAGACGATCACAGAGAGCTCCGGAGGGCCCCTTTAAGCTTTTGCTATCTGTCATTTTACATTGACCGCTCCATTTTTGAATTTTTACACAGAACTGCTGTAGCGGCACACAAAAGAGTTGTTTACTTCGCAGCCATTTGAAGTTTTTCACTCTTTTATTAGTTGCATCTCAATAAACACCAGTGTTGTATTGTTAATGCCGAAACTCAGCTTTTCACAAGGTATTAAATGCAAACTGTGGGACACCACTAACTGCAGTCTCCTCTAACTAAATACTTCAGTAAAACCTCCCTTTATTAAGTCGGTTTACATGCACACACACAAAAAAAAAAAAGAATGCATCAGTCTGTTTTTATTCTCACAGTGATAAACATAAACCGTAAAATCCCAAGAGATAGCCCACATAACATCAAGAGCAAATGAGGTGAAAATGTGGAGTGAGCTAACTTTCAACGTACAATCAAGAGAAGTTTAAAAAAAATTGCTATTTTTAGGTTGTGTCCCTTCCAAGCTTGTTACGGTGGCGAGGGGCAATGAAGCGAGGATGACAACTTCCCAGTCAGCAACGTTCGCTTATATCCCGCCATAGCTATACCTAGTAGACGCATTTACGCCGAGGTCATCATTAATCCCCACACTACTATTACTAGGAGTGGGCTATCTTTTGGTGTTTAAAGAAATGTAGCAAATCAAGCCAAAAATAGGGGTGGGCTATCTTTCGGGGGGTGGGGCATCTCGGGATTTCACGGTAGATACGTGCCTGTGCAAGTTTACCACAACTTGACTATTTCTGGTACTTAAAGGGGTACTCCACAGGTTTATTCATTGTCTCCGATTTGCTTGACATTTTGCTAAACTAACCAACAAACATCGCGAAAATAGTATCCCAAATATTAGGTCAAAATATTGTTTTTTCGCGAAGTTATTGAATTTACAGTTTTGGTCCTCACCGTGTTTTTCAAGCTCGAAGTCTCTACTGGCAACAATGAAAAAGTGACGTCAGTGGAAGGCAGGGGTTCACTCTTTGGGCTGTAGAATTTGTTCCCAACTGATTCGAAGCAGTTTCATGGTGTCAAATGAATGCTTGGGAAGCTCGCTGCAGTACCCGCGCTCCAGCATGGAACAAATGATCGGCATATTCTATTTTTAGACTGTTTGCTCGACTGGCAAGCCTGCCTGCCACTGACGTCACGGCACTGAAAAGTGCGCGTATATTTGAATGTTGGTTTTTGCATCATTTTCATTTGCCGATTTCACAATACCTATTATGAATTTCGCGATTCTAAATAGCATACCGGAGAGAGTAAAGGCCGGGGAGTCAGAAAATATAGTTAGTTGAGGTAGCTCAAAAAATCAGTGGAGTACCCCTTTAAAGTAGTCATATAATAAAAATCCTAACGTACCAAAGATAAAAAGCACAAAAATTGACTGCACCGAGCTCTTATTCTATAGTAAAAATATAAATACATAGCTGCATGTTTCTAGAAAAGGGGGGGAAAAGATTTGATCCAGCTACCAGTAAAACGTACCGTATGTGGCTGCAAAATTGCTGACATATCAATCTATGCTATTTGTAATTACTACACAATTGAACTCTCCTTTCCCTTTAAACTTAAAATATAAAAAAAAAAGTTATGAATAAATTTTAGATTTATGAAAACTTGTGTGTGCAGTCTTTGGAGAGATAAGTTTTGTTTCTGTTTTCAACAACATTTTTGCTACAGCTGTTCCATATGTAACCAGACTTGCCTGTTAAAGCCCTTCCCTGGTGCCCACAATGGGCTTCCTTCAGAGAGCTGTAGACAGACGTGTGTAAGATGCAAGCATTGTCTGTTAATGCAGCTGTGATGTTGCTTTAATCACCTCGTAAGCTCGAAGCATCTACATTTAGGCAGTTACACTCAGTTGGCTCAAACATGTACTGGCTGCACCGCTCAAATCTGTGCCGCTCTTGTAGAACTGTGCATACCACCCGCACAGCAGGGTGGACCATACTTTTAAAGGTTCTTATAAAATATAGTGAAAATTAAAGAGATAATCAAAAGCAAATAAGAAATTAGATTTTAAAAAAATTGTTTTTGCTTCAAATATTAATAAGTCGTCTTTACGTAACAGTCAAAATCATATTTCGGGTATATATGTCCTTTCCCCAACTTTCGTTGCATTTGTTCCTTCTGGTGCAGGTGATCGGTAGCCGAGTGTGTTGATGCACCATAGCTCGGAGAACGGGGAGCGGTAGGGGTCCCAGGTTCGATTCCCACCTCGGCCCATTTCGATCCAGACGAGCATCATACCGGTGTGCGGTCGTGCAATCGCTACCGTACGATGAACATTAAAGACCCCGAGCTAGCGGTGGTGCCGAACCGGCTAAATTTCTCGTCTCTGGCAGAGACACTGGGTGGCCATCAGGGCCGACTGACTTCACTGCGTCCCAACGCACTCACAACACAAATGCTTCCTTCTAGTACGGTGCCTGACACGCGTCTCCGACCAGTGTGTTTAACCGCATCCAAAAAAACGTCCCTCAATTTCCACTCGAGGACGTCGTAGAAGCGTCACACCGTCGCCGGACTCCGCAGATGCCTCTTCCGCCGCGTGTTCGATCTACGGCTTGACGGTCCCCGGAAGCTTCGGCAGCCAGGAGTTGGGACGCCGTGAAAACGGCGACGAGTTCCACAACTCGCCGCCAGGATGGCAACATCCGAGAGCACGGCATGCGGCTTCTGCGACGTCCTTTGCTGCCACCTGTGAATTGCTTTTGACGCATGGGCGGAATAAGACGCCAGACACACTGGTCGGAGACGCGTACCACGCACCATACTTCTATGGCGCGAGATTGAGGAATAATTTTTTTTTTGCATCGCGACCTGAACGGAGACAACGTGCGAAACTGGCAAACCGACGATCAAGCTATAAGCGCGCTGCGAGTCCACGGTGCACTTCCTCGAGCTTCAAGGCCATCCCCGAGACGCACGAAACGGACAGACGGCGAGTCGGGAATGCGGCTGTGATTCAAGGTGAACTAGCCTCGTATAGCTCGAGGCCCCTGGAAACGGAAACTCGTGCCCCCGAGCCGCCAAGTTTTGGGTCTGCGAAACCTCCACGAGAGTTGGTACCGTATTAGCGCCGAGACGTTCCAGTGGCGCCCTCTTACGGTTTCCGTTTGCAACGTCGCAACCCGAATTTTTCTCGCCTCGACGGCGCAAGTTGCAATATTTGACCACCCATTGTCGCCCGCGAACTACAGGTTCGACGATACGCGTAAAAATAACGACGGAAGCTCGGAGTCGTCGCACTCTTAAATTGACGTCGTTGCGGCTGACACTCTGGCATTGCACCCATTTCTGCCGACAAAAGAAAAGTGAATCCGAATAAAGACTCTACGGCAAGTGCTTGGCCAATCGCAAATTGCGACCACGGCGACGCTTTTGTTTGCACACGTTGCTAATACGCGAGCTGGTGGAGACGTCTCGAGATTCACCTATAGTAACAGACGGGGCAAGAACAGAAAAATGTCCATTAGCTGTCCTTCAATATCCAAAAGAGACGCCTACCTGTCCTTGTCCTGCAAGTGATTGTAGGGGTGTGAAAATAGCGGTTTGAACCAAATGACGCTGCATTGTTGTTAGCCTTCACAGCGCAACAGAAACCCACGACTACCATCTCTGCTTTATGGTATTGAAGGCAGGGATGACACTGTGCGATTCAACTCGAAACAGTACTTGCATCGTTCACACGCCTCTAGCTTTAACAGGACCTGTCTCAAGTTCTAACAAAACCTAAAACAAAAAAAAGGACAACACTAAAGCAAGGAGGAACCAAACAATAAAGACTCGTTGCAGATGTTTTTTTTTTTTCTTTTTGCATTGTCTTCTGTCTTGGGTTATGTTTTGTGAAACTTTTATGAATGCGGGAGTCATTTTCTTTATTTCCAAGCACCTCTCTACTGGTCCCTTGCTCTTACTGTAGACGTGTTTAGGCAACGTGTCTCGACAAAACAGTCACAGCTGCGCCTAGAGACTGGTACTTAGCTCATCTTCTTTTCTTTTTTTCCTTCCGAGTCAAGTATTGTAATGTTGGTTAGAGTGCAATTGTAGCGGAGAGAGAAACAAGACTGACTTGATGGAATTGAGGAGGGCACGCAGCTCCTCGTTCTGCTGCTTGAGCGACTCGAGCTCGGCAACTGCCCGCGTCAGCCTCGCCAGCACCTGTTCGTCGGGCTCCCCGCTGTGGAACAGCGGCCCGCTGATCATCAGCACGACCAGCAGCCACATGACCAGCACGCACGCTATCAGCTTGCCCACGCTCATCGCCATGCTGGAAGCAGAAGCACCAAGGGCTGGTTTGCACACTTGCACTTGAGTGTGCACTCACATGTAACCGCTTACGACGGGGGACACGGTGGCGCCACCCATCAAGAAGCCCTAGAAGAATTCCGATCCGCACATAACGCAGTATTTGCGGGATCAAATCTCTGCACTATCCGGAAGAAATGGTCTCTCGTAACATTGTCGGACTTACATCGAGCCCACGGCAAAAGAATAATGTGAAAAACATGATCGAAGTATGTTTCCAGATCAGAAGCATGCCAGGGCTAGCCGACAGATGGTGCTAGTGTGCCACTGCATTCCCTTGTAGGCAATTACAGGAGAGCACAAATGTGTGAACTGCCCGAAAGAAATTGAAATTTCCGGCCGGCATACCTATAATCCCCCCCCCCCCCCCCCCCCCGCACACATACACACACACACCCCTCCCCATTCCTCTGTCTCATGTTTCCGCCACCAGGCCGCGGACTTTTACACTACACACTTCGAACAAGCGCGAGCTGCCCGTTTCGAAAATACACGTTTTTGCCGCGAGGTGGCGTCGCAACTACTCTATATCTTTTTTTTCGAACAGTTTGGCGAGTTGCGGTGCTTTTTTGACGCGCGCGATACCGGACTGGTGGTATCCCGAGATAAAACTCATTACAAGGAGATCAGAGTGTTGCGCGCTTTCCTGATAGTGTGTCGCGTATTAGATTATACTGACGTGGCTTTCGACGGCATGATGTTGGATTACGCGGATTACGCAGACTCCGATCGTTGCAAACCTGCGGCTTATTTTTGCGCCGGTATACTTTCCAAACCCAACACCGCGGCATCACATATGCGATCCATGTATTATTTTCTGGTTCGACAACGATTCAAATACACAACTAGTTTGAGCGACAGACCGGGTACAAGGAAGAGATTGGGAAAAACATGTTTGATACATGCATGCTTACTCTAAAAACAGGGGGCAATAAGTTTGCTGTTATCTGTTGAGGATAGTCCCGGAACTTCTGCTGGGTCAAGCCTGCAAACGCAGTGCCGTCTCTACGTCAAAAAAATACCGAGCGTACGCTAAACCACACTCTAGGGATCGCGGTGGGTGTATATTTGGGTTTGATGCCCTTTCGAACTCCTAACGTCGCAAGCGTGGGTTAAGGTGTCGCGGTTTCGCTTTGTGCAGAACTTGACGATAATTATATTTACATTTCATTCCTCTCCGTGATAAAACCGCGAGCGGCCCAGCTCGGAATATGTTCCGTTCGACTCTCTTAATGGGACGTTGAGGGAATTCCAACTTACGCGACAGTGAAAGGCGATCGAGCCCAGCGGGGGAGCGTTGAGGACGGCGAAGGGGACGGGCGGAACTTATTTAACGCCGGGGTTTGTTTGGCACTTTACGCCCATTGTGCGGTATGTGGGCCACGCACCGCCATGCCGAACAACATCCTCCGCATAGCTGCGCGCACAGGTTCGTCGTGCTGGGTTGGTCGTGCGAATCCACTCGGGACGAGTTCTCACAGCTGTTTTGTCGGTTGTGTAGGCTTGAACCGCTCGCACCGCAGTGTCGTAGTCATTAAAAGAAGGAACAAAAAACATTTAGCTAATGTCTCTATGGCTAATGTATGCAAATTAATATATTAAATACAATTTTGATTGTTTTCTTTTTAGGTGAGTTGAACTTTCAGGTGAAAATACTTAAAATAATAACTTAAACATATTTTTGTTACGACTGTTTTAAGAAGAACTCGTTGGTATCATCGGTGCCTTTACAGTAAAACACCATTTTTAAAACGTATAACTAAGTGATAAAATATTTTTAAGAATTTCAATAAAATTAGTTTTGGTACTATTTGGCTAGACCGCGCAAGCTACCGCCCAATCTAATGAAAATCATAGAGATAGAAATAGACTTCATCCAGAGCCGTATCTGGTCATGTATTCATCTCTCCATTCATTCACCGCACCAAAATCAAGCATGGCCGCTCTCCTGCGCTCCTCTCGGGTCCTCTCAAGATTCTTGAGCACCGCTCGCTGTTTTTCGACGTCTTCGGTCGTGTCGCCGGCCAAATTATGTACCGTGTACAAACAGCAAGCCGTCGCCAGGCCCTTGGTTTCGAAACGGTGAGGCGCCGAGGGGAAAATACGCGTTTTGTCTTAGGCTTAGGCCGCCGCGGCGCCCCTCTCTCCTAGAACATGTGCTCCGCGCCGGTGCATATGAACTCCACATAACCTCTTCGACCTTGCAATCCGCTGAAACATTGCTCTTTTTATTCTTGGGGGGATTCGAAACTGAGTTTAGAAATGCTTGTGGCCTCTCTCCCCGACTCCGCATGGCGGAGAAGACAGTAAATGGTTTAGAAAGTACGCCCGAAGTCCGGCGATGCAAAATGAATCGCGACGCTTGTGTGATCGGGCACTGTCTCGCTCTAGTCGTAGAATCGCAACCCACCCGCTATCTTTGGATTAGCTTGAGAGAATATCCGCAACGTCAAGCGCACCTCAGTCTTGTGAAGCTCGGGACACGAATTTTATACGGAAAGAGCACTCGTTTTGGCGATCGCTCAGCCCGATCGTCAGGTGTCTCTCGAAGATATACCTAATCTATTTTTGCGCTGCTTCTCCGCACTAACACGTTTTAAAATAAATTTTACTCATTTTATTTCGTATTTCCAGCGGCACTCTACGTTCCCTAATATCTGCGCCTCAGTCTCATTCACGCTTTCTGCCTTCTGTAAATCAATTTATCGCTCAACCATTACCTTAACCCCTCGTTATTTCAGCCTTTATTTAAAAGGGGGGGGGGGGGGGGGGGGGGGTCAGTTTTAAGGACATGTCTGCCTAACATCCTAGTGCCAGAGCCATGTATTGGGAGAGTCTGGCCAGTGGGTGTGTCAATGAAGGCACTGGAGGGGAGAAAACTGAAGGAAAGGGAGGAGAGCGCCGAAGGAGCAAGAGAGAAAGAGGGGAGGCGACCGCCATTTTGACGCTACATCCTGTAGGTGCTGAGCAGTTGCGGCTACACGTTGCTAACTACGAGCTTGTTTCTTTTTCGCCTGAATAAAAGTTTGCGTTCAAACGGTAAGAAACTTCATTCATTAGCTTCTTAAGCCACCGAGGAATAACACTATCATCTCCTTGCAAGGGCCTGCCAAATAAAAAGAAAGAACTGGTATTTGGATGTCGATTCCATGCATTCCACCGGGCAAATGAATGGAGATGGTGGTCCTCCCCGCTCAGCTGGGAGCAGCCGGGAGTTCACACACATGCACTCACGCCTCTCGCTCTGCGCCACGGGCTGACTGGCTCACTGGGGGGGGGGAGGGGGAGCGTTACGGCGGCGAGATCATAGACTGGCCAAACTCTCCCCATATACGGCTCTGCCTTGAGCTAGCCTCCACCAATATAAACGACCCACTCTGAGTGCATGGCCGCGACGGTGGCAGGCAGCGGCACTGCTCGCAATTAGGGCAATTTTTTGATGATTCAAATGGAACGAAACTCAATAATGCAGCCAAACCGAATCGACGTGCACTGGTGAACTGCTTTCCCTCCCTTTAGAACAACAGTGGAATTGCCCAAATCGCAAGCAATTCCTTAACCAGCCGTTGTCTCGGCCACACACTCCAAGTCGGTCTTGTTTATAAGCTAAAGGTGGAACCCCGTTGTTTGTACGCTGAAGGCGGAACTACTGACGCGTTTCTGTATTTGCAGGTTACTGGCGAGCCAGGCTGCTTCACCCGCTGCAGCCGCCCAAGAAGAAGACGCGTCGTCCCTTCAGAGTCGTCTGCACAGCCTCGACCGGATCCTGTACCGCGTCGACAATGAAGTGCGGAGAACCGGCCGTGTGTCGCGGAGAGACGTGGACGACGTCTTTGCCGAGGTCAAGAGGATCGGTGAGACAAACGTCGAAATGCAGGGCTTTGGGCCTGCTGTAAATCATCTTGGTGCTTTCTGACAGGGTGCAAATGGCTGGGAGGTCTTTCAGGTGTCCTGACTCTAGCATGAGCTGTTTGACGTTTCGTCGACATCGAGCGTGCACGCTCGATGCGTCAGGCATCTAGGCTAGGTGGCGTAAGCTACCGCCCAATAAAAGGGGTACAGCCATCAGCTTCTATCCATCCAACGTCGCAGAGCGACGCCCTGTTGTTTTCATCCTGTCAGCGGCCACAGAAACGTTGCTCTTTCGAGCATGCCGGTTATACAAAAGCGTCTGCTTGCTTTTCTCTTCTAGGGAGTGTGACATCTTCGCAAGGCCTGCTGCTGGTGCGGTCTTGCGGCTCCTTCTTGAGGGAGGAGAGTCCCGAGCAGCGTACGCAGCTCGTGGATCGCGTTTGGAGCACGCTGCAGGAACTGAGTGAGTACAAGCGCCGTGCACGTCGCCGCCATATCGCCCGTCCACAAGTTTATCTTTCACAAGTTCTTCGGAACTTCGAAGAGGCTTAAAAGCACCGGTGCAATGCGAAAAAGCGGTACCCGTGGAGCTTGCTTTGGTGGGTGTCGCTTCTCCGCAGTGCATTAATGCTCGGTAAGAATCGCCCTCAACAGGGCTAACTTGCTGCAGTCTTAGAAAGGTACAAATATAACAGTTGCATGCTTAGGTGACTATTATGCAAGAATGTATGAACATCAGTTAGTCATTTGTGATTCTCAATTTCGTTTTTCAAAATCGAAATTGAAGATAGGATAAGTGCGGGGAGCAAGAAGTTATATAAATCCCCTTGATTAGGTAAAACCGGGCATCTTTGTAGGTTTACCTTTATGTCAAATGTGTCGATTACTTGTCATCCCAGTCTGGACATAGGATTTTCTAATGCCACGGTGCATAAGTGTAGTTAGATTAAAATTACCTTAGCTTACAAACTGGCGGGTGCAAGGTTGGGAACAGCCTTCATAAGTTCAGTTGGGTTTTCGATTTAGCGGGGTGCAGTAGTGAAAGGCTTGGAATAGCTAGTCTGTGTTTCATTAAAAAATATTTGGCCTAAACTTGCTTCGAATTCGTTCGGAACTCAGCCATTCACTCCACTATTCACTCATGCCTAATTTATATTAAAACATTTCATTTTTAAGTTTCCGACAAGGAAGCTTAATTTTATAGTGTGACATTTAGCGCACGTTTAATAGACATTCGTTAAGTGCCCGGCAATGTTGGAAGTAGGTACGGTCTCGTCAGGTTTGTCATCTTCGGGGTTTTTCATTTTGTCTCCGCGGTTTGTGGTCCTGTTTGTTGTCCTGTTTGTTGTCTGTGCTTGGTCAGCTCAGTCTACACATGCTTCGCGTGACGCATGGTGCTGCTAAGGCCCTTGTATAGTGAAAGGTAGCGCAATTCCTCCTCTCTCCGTGTTCTCCTTTTCGTCGACGTCCACGCCACGCCCCCCACCGCCATGTCTGAGCGAGGCCCGCAAGGCGCGCGCAGGTGTGCCGGGCACAACCGGGTAGATGTTATTGCATATAACACACTAAAAATTTCTTTTCTTTTTTCTTTTTTTTTTTTTAATAATGAAGACAGTTTTGTTTTCTTATGTGAAGAAACTAGTGTTTGTGCATCTTTATTGGAGTTATAAAGCACGGGAAGACGTCTCTATCAGCAAATATAAGAGCGCGAGCAGAGTTGGAATCGCTCGGGCGTGAAGACAAGCTTTCTTCAATTCCGCTGAACGCAAAAAACGAAAAAAATCAATGTAGTTGAGTACTTTGGGACATTGGCATGCACTGTGAAACCGTTTATCTCAGCAAAAGCTGAGAGCAGACACGCGATAGAACATACCTCTCCCTGCGTCTAAATAGAGTTTCATGGGCAAGGACTGCATTGCTAGCGGGAGCTCGTGCCGTCGCTTTGAGCATGAATTGGGCACGCACCCACAAGGCTGACAATCCATAGCGTTAGCTCTACTAAAACTTTTTAGTATCTTAAACGAAGTGCATTTGGAGAATCGGCATCGCTCGAGTTAAGCAAATAAAAGACACCATTACGCGTGCAACACCAGGACATTTCGGTAATTTTAGCATCACCGATCGTTTTGTCAATCCAGCAACCTGGTTTACTTCATACACATTTTATAAACGTTGAATACTACCTGCAACTGTGCACATGCGCACAGAGGGATATGCGACGTCTGCTATTTACGCGCCTCGTGCATATAACTACCCATCAAATACGCTCGTATCCCCTCCATTCAAATGAAAAATAGCGCGTGCTTGGTTGCCTTGCCAGCGTGTTTCTCATTTATCCGATATAGTATTAGTGTTTTGACGTTCTCACGCGCAAGTTACACTTTTGAGTTCACTCCCAAAGCGTATAAGGTTTGCTGCACATCCACGGGCATACCTTTTTGCGTCAGTTACAAAGTGAGGACAGAGAGATCCTTCAGCAAAGCCTTCCAAAGACAAGAGCAATTTTTTTTTTATTTTCAGTAACTTCTGTTTTTTTAATCACAGAAGACAAATCACATACAAAGATGAAGAAAAGAAAATATTGCTAGAAGGCAAAATATTGCACATTCCAATGAGGTGGGTGTGAAAAAATGAAGGGAGCTGCGTATAGTTTGAGTTTCTTGAGGCCAGTCTTTGCCAAGATCACTGGCTTACACTGATCGTTCGTGATGTGATCCTGAAAAATATATGCAGCATCGCATACTTTTAGTTGCCATTTGTGAAGCACCGATCGCAGAAATATGTTGCACAAGCAAAATCGCAAGGTGCTCGATCGTTGGTGACTCTCCTTTCACTGACACAATATGCTCGCGGTAACACTACAACCCTTTTTATTTTAGTGGCACCCCAGCTTCTCACGCATCATTCTTAACTCGGCCGACTCAATCCAGGCGAGCTAAGAGTGAGCGAGTCAATTTTTATGATCAAATACGCATGAAAAGACATGTCAAATTTCTTCATGCAGTAATTTTGTTCCGTGTTTATCTCATCTTATGCTTGTATTAGGCGATCTTCATCGGCGAGACCGAAAGAAACATGGGGTACGATCCAGAGTTTTAAAATGACTTATGTCGCAAAGTCTCTCTCGGAGGCTGTCGAAAGTTTACCGACCGATCCGGCGGAGCCATTGTCTTCGTCACTGATGATTTGCTTTTCTCGTTGGAACCGCAAAAAGCTTCTTCCTTTTTGCAATGCTGTTTGTGCATTCCACAACGCAACATGATGGAATCGCATTGCCGCCAATGTAATGGTAAAAACAAATTGTAGCAGACCACCGAATCACGCGAGATCATAGGCAGGCAACGGTCACGTGTCGCGCCCAATCTAATTGACGCGAGGATAAAGAGAACTTTTGAAAGGGAAAGGGCATATGCGAGGAGAAATTTCTCTTCCCCATTTCAGACAATGGTTTGTGCTACCTTTCAGTATATAGGGGCCTTAGGTGCTGCAGACGTGAATAAGGTTAATGTGCAATGCTCAAGAAAGTCAACTTTCAATGGTTGTGTCAGTACCACAGTCAATGACAAATACAGTCTGCCGATCCAATAAATTAGTCTCGAGTGAAATGTTAGCTCTGCTGAAAAACATTCGGTATCTTGACTGTGGGAGAGTTGCCGCAAAAAAGGCTGTAAAAGACTGTGGGAGAGTTGCCGCAAAAAAGGCCAAAAAAGGCGTGAAACACGGTGAGAACGTGAAGACTGAATTAGATAGCTTCGGGAGTAACTGGCCACCACGCGTGCTTGAGCGATTGGTCAACACAGTCCCAGGCGTCGTCGGACCTCAACAATGCATGAGTAGGTAATAAAATATTTGCAGTTTGTTGCAGAAGTTGTGCTATTATAAAACTGCCAAATGCTACACCGTACAATTTCCTTAAACATGTCTTTGCAGGGCCTTGCAAGTCCTTGAAAACCCTTGAATTTTTGTCTTCAAAACCTGTATGAACACTGCTACCTTCATTGATCAGGAAATCTATGGCAGAAGCAACGAAAAATTTAACTCGAGGGGAGCCGCATTTTTGGCTACCCTAGCGGACTTGCTCTGGAAATGCAAAAGCAATAAGTGGAGTCACTCATGTTGTGTTGTTAAATGGCTGTTTGTTTACACATAAAGAAGGCTCCTCAATTTGTTTTATTAGAACCAAAAGCTTATAAACGTTACCCTTTAAAAGTTCTGTGCAGGATACTAGGGCACTTGGGGCAAAATAAATTATTATTGATATGCTGACGGGCTTGACGCGAGATTTCTCCCTTTTCCAACTGCCGCATCCCCGTGCATGCCAAGTCCAATGAAATGAAAGCTAGCATACAGCGTAAGGAAGTCTTTCCAATTAAAAGTTGACGTTAGCATTCAAGTTTACTGCTTCAAAAAACAGTCCTTTTGGTCGTTGCGCTATAGAATGCCCCATGCACGTAACCAGGATTTTGTTTCGGGGGGGGGGGGGGGGGGGCCTGCCCATAAAATATGCTGTATGAGGGGGAGGGGGAGAGGAGTTTTTAGCAAAATGGAAGATTTCGGGAAGGGGGGGGGGGGGGGGCCTGGCTACGTGCCTCGAATGCCCCCTCGATGGCAAAAAGCAAAGGTGCCCTTAGGGCAACGAGCTTCCATGGTTTCTGGGCACCTGAAGAAGCCTTAGCCTCCTATCGAAAACGCTAGGAAGTCCGTTCAAGCTTTCTGTTTTTTTGGGGGGGAAACTTGCAATTCGTTTTATCGGGGTATCGCAGCTCTAGAAGACGTTCATTAGTATAGTTTGTTGCGACATAAAAAACAGGACAAGTTCCTTCTACAAAGCCCTCCTTGTTTTGTCCTTTAGCAGAGTGAATTCTCGAGAGGAGGAAACCTTCAGTCGCAGCAACCACAGAGCTTTGTGGGAGGAGCCTCGTTCTGCCTCGCAACAAAGTACACGCGTAATAAAAAACAAGGTTTTTTTTATTGGGTTTTTCTTCTCTTTAATCCAGAGTGCCCGATGGACGTGAGCCACTACAACGCCCTGCTTCAGGTGTACCTGGAAAATGAGCTCAAGTTCTCGCCGACGGAGTTCCTGGCGACCATGGAGAAGGCGGGCATCCAGGCCAACAGGGTCAGTGTGGCCGGAGGAGGGAAAACAAGGCCGAACTGCCAGAAACTGGCGTTAGAATGCATCGCGGAACATTAGCAACAATTCGAGAATGCGATTTTAGGCCAGGTGGCACAAGCTACCGCCCATTATAAAGGGGTGCCGCCGCTGTTATTCATCCACCCATGTTAAAGGGTGAGCTTATTTTCATCTACCCAAACTGAGCTTATTTTCGAAATACCGAAGCTTCATTCTTTCCATCGTGCTATTTATTGTCCCTAAATTCAAAATAGCTAATAGAGAAAACGAAAAAAAAAAAAGAAGATGCCAAAACAAACATTGAAATTTTCACCTGCTCTCCAGCGGGACGGGGTGACGTCGCACGCATAAATTCCAAGTCGAGCAAGCAGCCCAAAAAATGCAATGCTTTGTGAATGTCTTTTGGTTTCTTACGGCTTGAGCTTAAACAGCATCCATTCCACGCCTTCAAACTCGTAACCTGTAGGCAACAACAAGCTGCACTGTCTCTGTATTACTCCATATTACAAAGTTTGACATCACGCTTTCAGCGTTGCCAGTAAAGCCTCTCGAACCAAATTTAAAACTTCAAAACATTTACTATACATCAGTATTTTTTTTTTGTGTGTGTTGCAGGTGACATACCAGCGTCTTATCCACAGATTTTGCCAGGAAGGCGACATTTCTGGGGCAAGGTTCGTGAAAAAGCAACAATATTGTTTCTTTCTTTTTTTCTTTAGATTTTGGTGAAACAGGGAAGCAAAGCTCAGCAGTATCTGTGTTAGGGAATTTTCCCAATTAAAAGTATTCATGTTGCCTTTTCCCCAAATTGTGTAGTAGGCTCTGCTTCTCGGTGCCATCGTTCCCTTACTGGTCCTTCCGCTGAATTACCCTAGCATCGAGGGGAATGCTGGGAACGTAGGTACACGTGCTGCACTTGCTCGCCTCGTCTGCGTAAAAGATTCAAAGTAAAAAACCGAAATGAGGAGTTCACGAACGAAGTGCAAAGCACTGTTTGTTTGGGATTTTTGCTTGAGAACAGTTACTTCTACAGATGCAAGCGCGTGCAGCGTGTGCAACTACACCTGGGGCAGGCTTGTCGGTTCTTGAGTAATTTAGCAGGCGGTATATTCCAAGCGATTAGCCAAATACCGTGCAACACAAATTGCTCAAATGCAACGCAAGTACTTTGCCTTCACGATTTACTCACGCCAGTTAGCATCAAACATTTAGAGTAACATGGAGGCACTCGAGGAAGAGGTTCGACTGGCACTGGTGTCCAATCGGTGAGGAGACTACCGCTGCGTCGTTGTTCAGCTGGCAGTCAGCCTGTCAACTTCCGTCACTGCCATCTAACCGGATATGGTTAGGTGCCAGCCTCATAGCACATTTTGTGTTAAAAACTGCAAAGAGGTCTTTCTGCTGTGCTGCCTCCAGCGCGAGCTTGTTACCTTCAATAACACATCAGCGTCCCTCGAAGCCCTGGCCCTGCCATTCTTTTCCTGTCGGTGACCGAAATAGGCTTCGACGGCAGCCTTTTAGTCGTGAGAGGAGAGCGGGAAATTTCGTTGATTGTGCATTTCAGCGCTCGGTGTCTTTTAGAAGTGTTCCTTGTCTATTCAGTTTCAATCTGCAGAGTGCTGTTGTTTCTTTGCACACGTTGTTGACGGTTTGTGTCGTCTTGCAGCAAGATCCTGGAGCACATGAAGAGTCAGGACCTCCCGATCAACGAGAAGGTGTTCAACTCGCTGGTCATGGGTCACGCAAGAGCAAAGTGAGTCTGAATTCTCATAGCACGGCATAGCTGACGGGAAGAAAGTTGTCGCTTCTCTCTCAACTGCCTGAATAGGCCTACATATGTCACAAAATACTTTTTTTCACCTGAAGAAAAAATTAATGTATACTTATGAGTTATTTGTGTTATTTATATTATTTATAAATAATGCAATTGAAAAGCCTTTGTTTTCTGAACAAGCTGACCTTTCAAGTATCAGTTGAAATTTCATTTCATTTGTTATTTCATTTATTTTTACTCATAAAGGTCCTCATTCGAGGACACTACATAAGGGGGGGATCATTCACATTTCAGTCACAATAAAAAAACACAGCTAGAAAAAAAAAATACTCTAGAGGGTACAACAAAGCAAATATCTGCGTATTCAGTTCGACATTTGTTTCTAAAAGAGTATATGAAAACTTCCACTATTAAGATTTATGACCAGTTGCTTTAGCATCATAGAGTTTGTTTTTTCCCCCCGTTATGAGTTCACTGAGGGGAACTGACAGTCGCATTTATGGTGTCGAGGATGCCACATCTTTGCATGGCACTAAGGGAGGCACACTATTTTTTTAGACGGACCCATGCGTGCGTTTAAAAGAAGAGACTGAGCTTCGTTTCTAGTTCATGTTATAATTCTGAGTTTTGCTTCAAGTGAGAAAAATACTGCAGTGTAGTTATAGTCCGTTGCGACTCAAGAAGATAGGACGAGGGTAAGACCGGCCGGGGAGGAGGAAGCAGACAGAACGCCAGAGAAGAGAGGGGAAACTTCCTTCTCTCTTTAGCGTTCTGTCCGCTTCCTCCTTGCCGGCCCGTCTTACCCTTGCCCTACCTTCTTGAGTTGCAACGGGCCATAGTTATACGAAGTCTCAGTGCAGTTTGTAGTTGCGGGAGTACCTCTGGCCGGATGTTCATTCTGCTTTTGACTCGCAGTGACATGGAGAATGCAAAGAACATCCTGGACGTGATGAGGTAAGTCCTGGCATTCTATTAACCTTTGGCTGTCTTAGTCAGATCTTCTTACCGTTTACTGAGGAAGTAGTTCCAGTTTCTACAGCAAACAAACAAAAAATTGTAATGAGTAGCATGTAGTCCCAAACTGTCCAAATAAAACTCGTACGCGAATTAGACCTTACTTACTGTGCCAGCATTTGTTTGGCAGCATTGCATTCGAGATCAACCTGTGATCTTAAACCGTTGAAGTTATGGTATATGCAATAGCTTGTATTTGGTCAGTTGGTTCTTCAGGGCCAAAGAGGTATCAGTAGATATATGTTTGTCAATAACATATATTTAAATTGAGAAGCAACTCTGGTCGAAAAGGAAACCAAAGTAACTCGCGGGTATCGCTTTAGTGGCACGAAATATTTTCACAGCCGAAATATTACGTCAGAGTGAAGCAGGATACACCACTAAAACCGATTTTAGAGATGCGACCAGCTGCTCTTTAGCTGGTGGCAAACGGGTTAGCTTTTAGTTGAGGAACAATGGCGCAGCACCCTCGTGACGTCACGTTACGGTGGAACCACGGTCGATCGGTTGTACTGTGTACCGCAGCACCACGGTGACGTCACGTCATGGCCGTTCTGCTGATGATCAGTGTTGCCATCCCTCAAACTGGAAGTTTCGGTTTTGCCATAGACGCCCGAAACCAAACTCTGAGCCGTGATATTTATAAAACTACCGTACACACTATGTCGAGAGAAAAAATGATACCTTGTAATTCAGCAGCACTGCTTTAGCTGAAAACAGTCATAATCTCAAATAAAAAAAATATTGGCCGGAGTTGCCCTTTAAGTTTGGCACTGTTATCTCTTTAGCATTGTGCTCCAAACCTGATTCTTTTCTGTCCTTGCATTCCTCCTGTAGCTTGATTTTTTTTTTTTTCAGCTGTCGGGTTGCCTTACAGCCTGATGCTCTAGTTCTTGCGTTCATTATGTTATAGTGCCCAGAGCGCGTCTTGGACTGATGTGTTTACTGCATCTGAGACAGTGGTCTCTCAATTTCTACCTGCCGACGTTGTAGAAATGTCGCGCTGTCGCCGGCCGGTGTGACGACAGCAGCACACACATTTGCTCATTTTACTTTTCACCGGCTCTTGTGGCACCGACTGCCAGGATCGCGACATGCAACGGCACAGCACTCCGGCTTTTGCGACGTCATTTGTTGCCGCTTGAGGACCGCTTTCGATGCTTGGGCGAAATGGGACGCCAAACGCACGAGTCGGAGACGCGTTCCATACACCGTAATTACATTGAGGTTTTCAAGTTTTCGGGGTTTTTGTTTTCCCCTTCAATTTTGGAAGTTTTTTTTCAAAGTTCTACAAGGCCAACTAATTTTTATTTTTCCTTGATTTTTTTTTTTTTTTTTTTTTTTTTGATGAAACCAGTTTGGGAGGCCTCTCGGATCTTATTGGGGGTGCCTCCCGAAAACAAGAAATGTCGGTTATTTTTGAGCGCCACGAAACTTTTAGAAACGACACTTCGTTGCTACCTCTTCGGGGTTGCCTACTACATGTTTCTGATAGATTACTCCCACCTGAAATGGAGTGAAACTCGCACCCTCTACCAGGGAAGTAATCCGTCGGGTCCAGGGTTCCATCCCGGGACCTCCCCGAGACTGTCGTAGTGCTCCAACGACCGAGCTAACCAGAAGCTAGCCGTCAATGGTGCAAATAGACATTAACAGTTGCCACCAGTTTTGATTATAACCACTGCAAGGGTGAGATTGGACAGCCACCATTCACTTGGCGAGTTGCACTCCATCTCTGGTGGAGGTCAATTTATTCTTGCGTAAATCTCTTCCCCACCTCGTGGACTTCACCATGACAGATTCTTTCTACTGCTAAGCATGAACTCGAATCTGAATTGTTGAGCGTGTTCCAACAGAAACGCCCACCTGGAACCGACGGCAGACACTTACTTCGCCCTGCTGCGCGGTCACGCGGAGCGTGGGGACGTAGAGTCCATGAACAAGGTGCTGCAGGAACTGGAGCGGAACGAAGTCTTCCTGTTGGACGATCATTACCTCGGGCTCGTGAACGTCCTTGCCTGCTCCGGACACAAGCAGCACGTCGATGAGGTGCGGGGTGCTTCGCTTGTTCACTCGCCTCAGTGCGGAGGGCAAGTTGTCTGCTTCTTGCAGAGGAGTTGTGGTGATGTAAGAATGACGCAGGGCTCTGATTGGCTTTGATTGAAAGGGTGGTGGCTAGATTTCAATGCTTGTTGCCTTGAGGTGTACCCACTATTTTTTCCAATTGATCAATAAGAGCTTGATGTTCTGATATCGCGGCCCCTGTGCAAGAAGCAGACGAACTTGCGCTCCACATAGGTTAGTTCCGCGTTACTGGCAACTGCATGCAACCTCTGAAAGAACCGTCTTGTGACTATTGTGTACTGGGTAGCCAGGTCTAGTGACTCTTTCAATGCATCCATGACGTTTGATTCTGCACTTTCTTTTTTCAAATACAACTTCAAGGGCTTAGCCGGATGAGCATGGAGGATGGAATTTAAGGAGTACTCTATTTATTCTAATATAAGTCAACCTTTTTTTTTGCAAATGTCAAAATTACAGGTCGACCTACAATCTTGACCAGAGAATTTCGACTTACATTTCATGACCAAATTTCACGACCCCACCGAGCGAATGGAGTCACCGAGCAGGTGTCGCCGTAGCGCTGCACCGCTTCATGTTTCGAAAAGCTTTTGGTGTATGAAAACAACCGAAACAGCAGCAGCCTGCGGGCCGCGGCCCGCCCGCATCCCTCGGGTGTCGGGTTTCACGCCTGTCCGCGGCTGCTGTGGTTGGCGCCGCTTGCGAGTGCCCCTTGTGACGTAAGGAGGGAAGATGGTTGCGATGCGCCCCGCAGCTTGCCCCCTCCCTCTCGCAAACGCGCAGCAAAAGGAAATGTGGAGATTTCTCCTGTTGCTCACGGCGGCTCACGGTATTGCCGTTGCTCGCGGCGGCTAGCAGCGGCTCACAGCAGTGTTCACTTCGTTATATTTGGTCGTTCGTCGCTAGCCCTTTTCCACCTCCTTTCGTTTTTTGTGGCCATTTTGCAACGGTGTCGGTGAGGTATTTTTGCGAATTTGTGAGGATGTCGACGAAACTGAAGAAGCTTCCGACGACGATGACACGTCCGGTTGTTCTGACGATGATGAAGTTTTTGGCATCAATATTGGCATTTCCAAACCGAGTGAGGGACTTCCTCTCTATTTTGATTGGATAGTCTCTAAATTTTGAGGGGGTGCTAGCTCGGTATTTTACGGTATGTTAATTAGCCAGATGGGCACTTCGCAACAAAATCTCGACTTGCTCAGCAGGACCGTGAACAATAGTGCGTCGGTTCGACACGCGTAGCGTGCGCCGGGTTTTTCTAAGTCTTGGCAATAGTCAGCTGAACCACCCTGTATTTGACTGAGGGAAGTTAATCAACCCCAATGGCTGTCTGGTGTCTCCGGTGTACATGAAAAGTTTAAGCCAGTCCAGTACAACCGCTAGCCTGGGGTCTCTAACATGCATCACTCGGTGGTGACAACGACGGCACGCCTGTACAACACTCATCCAGGCCGAAGAGGGCAAAGGGGGGGGGGGGGGGGGGGGGATGATCCCAGGTTCTCTGGGTTCAGCGGCACAAGCTTTTGCTCCACGTGCTACGAGCTGTGGTTCGCTGACACACTCGGCCTCACCCTCCCGACCCCTTGGCCCCGCAGGTCCTGGGCAAGACGCGGCGTCTGGCGGGCTACACTCAGGACTGCATCAACACGTGCATGGAACTCGTCGCCCTGGGCCACGACGACGTGGCGCACAAGGTCTTCCTCACCATGACCTCGAGGCTGGAGAACCACGGCAACTTCTTCGTCTCGCAGCTTGTGCGCTCTGGTGCGGTGAGTCTCGCCTTCCTTCTTGAGTATGGTGGCATTTCTGTTCGGCAGTTTCATTCTGTCCCTGCCATTTTCAAAATTGGACAGTTTTCTGACTATTTTTAACACAGAATGAGTTTTATCAGCCGTTTCTTTATGAAAAAACCGTCGTGCTCAACCGTTAAGCTCGACCATTACACGTGGTTTGAAGTTTTATATGCAAAGAACATCGGTTCATAGGGTCCATTTAAAAATGTATACAAGAGACACTCCTGATGGGGGTCGAACTTAGGACCAAGTGCTTCCAGCCAGATACGATGCCGAATGGGCTAAGCGATGCAGATGCACAGAAGCAACCATAGGAGGAGTAGCGGTGTCAGCAGCAGTTGCACAAGGAGCAGTTGCGTGTGGAGCAGTGGCATGGGGAGCAACAGCATGGGGAAACAGCTAACAGTTGGCTTTGCCTCATAGCATGTGAAATATCGCGCCACAGACATATAAGGAGAAGCGAGCGCCTATATAAGTACAGATCTCGCTTCCCCTGGTTCAGTGTCCTGCCATGGTTCCGAGGTAGCCTGCACCCAAACGTATGCAGGAAAGCAATGCTAGCTCAAACGTGCCAACAAAGACCAGGGTGAGTGGTTCCACTAGCCTCGCGCAGATCAAGCAGCCCCACCCCCCACGACACATGCGCAACCTACACAGTTCAGTAGTATAATGAATCGACACATGATCAAGCTAGTGAGATCTTTTGTTGAAACTAAAAATGCAGTCTTTTAATGCAGAATGTATTTTACAAGAAAATTATCCTGAATGAGAGTCACTAGCAAGTGTCACAGAGAAGCGTCAGTAACGACCAAGATGAACTATCGACATGAACGAGACACATGCTGGGAACATTACATGACGTTAGGCTTATATATAAAGCTTACAAAGTATCACGTAAAATCAGCGTAAGAAAGATGCCCTAGCAGAGCTCGAACCTGGGCCGGTGCAGTGGTAATAAGAAATAAAAAATATGTATTATGCACCTAAAACAATTTATGAAATGCAGCCGGGATGCAAAGCCAATTTTACTCGTGTGCAAGAATCCGTATGTATAAATGGGACTGGTAATCCTTTTTTTTTGCAGCCCCTTGAGAAGATTGTGCAGTACTGCAACGACTTCAAGTCCCGCGGCTTCAACACAAGGGCTCTGATCCGCTGCACGGAGGTGGCGCTGCTGAACAAAAAAGCCGGTAGGCTCTCTGGGAGTTTGTGTGTCAGCCGCTGAAGTTGTCTTGCTTGTTGTCATCAAGTGTACTGACAGCGAAACATTGCCGTTTCAGAGTTGGCTTTGGGTCTGATCAACGAAATGCACAAGCAGGTGAGTGGTGTCATATTTGAACGCAGAACTCCGAATTCTGGGACGCTGCAATATGAGTTTGTTTTAGCTGCGGTTTTTTTGTTGACATAGGCAGTCAATAAACTTGCAGCCCTCTGTCTGTCAAACATAGTTTAGTTTTTTTTTTTTTGTTTTTTTTTAATTATGCTTGTTAATTTTTAGCACAGTCCAATTAAAAAGTAATTGTGTTGTGTGTGTGTTTAGACAGCGAGAAGTTAGTCAGCCACAATGGACATCTGCTGTCTCTGCTGTAGATGAGAATTTTAACCGGTGCAGTACCACTCCTAACCTGGGGTCTCTGATGGGCATCACGAGTTTTTGTCAACATTTTTAGATTAGGGTCAGTTGGGAAAGAGCACGAGCGCGCCATGGCAATGGAGCGTGCCGCACAGTAGCCAGCGATGCGGTGGCGCTGCGGCTCCGGCAGGATTGGTCCCTTGCACGTCTTCTGCTAGTCTCCTGTTCTGAAAGGTGTTGGCACGCGGCCAACCAAACTGTATGACTTGTAAAGCAAATAATTACTGCTGAACAAAGTGTATATAAAGAGAATGTGCACACCAAAGCAAAAAGTGAAATGGAAGTATATTATACAATGTTTTCTTTCCACGAAGTGCACCTATCCATGGCTTTAGCTCTTACCTCTCAGGCATGCTTGAAAGCATTGGTCTTATAACGAAATTTCCTGCTCACTGGTCCAGTTAGTAAAGCAGGTTGTTGATAGGGAACAATAGAGACTTTTAATAAACCATTACTATGTACTGCAAACCGCATTATCGGAGCCTTTGAAGCATGTTTTTAACCGTGTGCCCAAGTGATGCCGTGACGGCGCGCGCTTAAATCCCAATGAGACGCCAGCGCCGCCTCTCGGAAGCACTACAAAATGGAGCCGCCGCCTCCCGGAAGTTTCCCAACTGACCTTAATCTAAAAACATTGGTTTTTGTGTTTGCAACAGAGTCGTTTGTGCTATGTATCTTTCGACTATATTGTCTCTTATCCGGCTTGCATATTGTGCCCAATTTTTTATGTGCATCGTGGTTATAGATTTGGAAGTAGTGGAGTTTACCATTTTCCAAATAGAACTTGCAGGTTTAGCCTCACAAATGTTATAAATCAAGTGGTCTAGCGCATGGCTCCCGGTGTTGTCCTTAGGGAGCTTCAGACGAAGGTGCACCCATGTTTCAGCTCTTGCAACGATGGGAAGATTACTGGTGTGTCCATGGGAATTAAATTTGTTTACTGTTCCCAAGTTACCCAAAAGAAATCTGGTGCATGTTGCAATGTTTGTGATTGTGTTTCTGAACATGCATTGTGCCTGGGAAACTGGCATGCCACATACAAAATAAGAATGCGCCATTTTGCTGATAACAGGTAGAGTGTGCTCGTTTCGCCTTTCCAGTGTGGCACTTGGTGCCTACTTTTACTCGGTTAGTGAACACATTTGTTACGAACAAGGCTAAAGTTTCTACTTTCCCATGGAGTACCTGGTGGTAACGATCTGCGCCGTGAATCCGGTAAACGGTAGTACAAATGTAACAGTTCCTCAGACAAGTTCTGTGTGGACTGCGACGCGGAGCGTCTTTTTTGTTTTATATGTCCAGACTCCGGCATGGATCACATTTGGCAGGACACGTTTTCCAAGCTTAATCTTTCGCCAGGTCCCTGCTTTACATCACCATAATGGGCCTGCATGCATATAGAGAATGCAAATGTTTGGGCCTTGTTCATGATCAGTGCATTTATTAATTTAAGTTAACATGCTAACCAGTCTACTTGATTGTTTCAAATGCACAGCCTTATTGGTTCAGCTCTTAGCTCCTTCGCGTCCATGGCATGTAGATTCCATTGTCATGTTACACTGGTGACGCCATGGTGTTTACGTGACGTCATTGGCATTTTAAAATGGTTTACTGCGATGTCATCGTGCCCGTGTGATAACGTCATAGTGTTCACGCGGTGTTATCGGCGTGAACACTGTGATGTCACGGTGTTCGCGTGACGCCATCAGTATGGCAGCAATCGCGTGACACTACGATGTTGCACGACGCTTCGACATTGGGCGGCTCACCATGATGCTGCATTGTGACACCGTGATGTCTAGTAACACTAATGTGAGTTGGCCTGACATCACGTCGCGTGATCAGAGGACGTAACCACATGCTTTCCTGATGGTCGTGTGACGTCGCATAGCACCGTGACGTCATAGTGGCGCATGGTTGCATCAGGCGACGCCATCACGTCGCAGATGATCTGTGAACGTCACGCATTTGAAGCGCCTTTCGGATGTATCGCCTAAGAGACGGGCGGTTTTTACGTGGGAAGACCAGCGACTCGAGGGATCCTTCCAAATTGCAGGAACTCCCGGTACGTCACCACTACTTCTATCCTGTGCTCCTCAGCAAGAGCGGAAACGACGACGACGTCTACGCCGTCCTCAAGTCGATGATGGATCTGGAGCTGGAGCCAAACTACGAGACCCTCGGAGACTTCGCTCTGCCGGCCCTGGACACGTCAGACCCCGAACAGGTGGTCGGAAAACTCAAGGTGAGCGAGCGGGCGGGGGCGAAGCAGTACGGCGGGGAAACGACGATCTTCTCAGACTCCTTCGGAGTTCCGGCTCCGACCCTCGACTACCGGCCAACAGTCCGGCGAGAGAATTTGCTTCCTGGGGTGGCCGAAGTTTCACCGTGGTGCCCAAAACGCGTTTCCTTCTGGCGTGTTTACCGCGTCGTCAAAAGTGGTCCCTCGATTTTCATCCGACGATGTCACAGAAGCGTCAGCTCATCTGCCGCAATCCTGGCTTCTGATTCACAGGAGCAGAAACGCTAAACATACCAGTCAAGAATGAGTTTTCGGCAGCATGATTTCGTCGAGAGTCCCGCGTTCTTCATAACTTCGCGGGAAATGTATGCTTTATTCGAGCGTACGAAACAGTTTTCATAGATTTTCATGAGTGAGCGAGTTAAGACTGTCTGAAACGGCTGAACGAGTGAAAATAACTTTGTTGGGGGTTAACTTTGTTGACTAGACAATGCAAGACAAGCTTGTTTTCGTCCTATAGGTTTGATTACACGGGATGGCCAAGGGTCGCATAATGGTGCAACACAAAAGGGTGTAAGAAAGAATGTATATTTTTAGTCGCATCTTTTTATGCGGAAGTACTAGGCTATGCAGGTGTTGTTCACACATTGGGCATTTGGAATGGTTCCAACTTGGTTGCTGCTTCGTTGTAAAGAAGAGAGGTCAGCATTTTGTGTAACGAAGCTTTGACCTTTGGCATTTTGAACGTTTGGTAGAGACTGCTTAATGCCACACTTGCAAAATATAGAGCTTCGAGCACACTACTGGAAAGGGGCCGAACAATGCTGCATTGTTCCCGGACCGCCAAGTCTGGAGGGACGGCACATCTTTTAGGACCTCTTTGTATTGTGAAAAGTAGGAATGAAAGGTTTCAGTGGGGTTCAGCAGCTTCCTTATCCTAATGCATAGGTGTGCACTGGTTTTCTTTTTGGGGGGAAGGGGGGGGGGGGGGCATTTTACTTAGCTTTAGTTAACTTTTCTGCCTGACAAATAACTACCGTAATATCCCGAGTCATCGCCCACCCCCCTACCGCCTGAAATTCGTTAAAAAAGTGGGGTGGGCCATGTCTCGGTGGGTGAGCACAAACACTCGACAAAAAGCGGAAAAAACCGCCTATTTTTCTCTGCGTATCTAGCGCTGATGCACAAGAGATACATCAAACTCAACACTCGATTTAGTTTCATTGTTTTATAGAAAAAATGCTCACGAAAGAATATTTTACTATAGCGAAGTCCGTTGCTTGCATACGCGCTAGAAACACCGCCGATCTGCATATAGCGCGAACGTTTGTTCCGTGAAAGAATGTCACCATTATGTTCTCCTAGTTAGTAAAAAAAAAAAAAAGTCTACAAGAAAATAGAAAAACCGACCAGGCGCAACGAGCAAGCGAGCGAGCGGACCAAAGAAGCGACCAAGAGCTATGCTGGGAAAGCGGGAAAGCCGGCGGTCGCGTTGGCAAATACTTTGGCGTCGGGCCAAGTCGGGCGCCTTGTCAATTGCAAGCTCTTGCGCAACTTGTTTGGTGCGTACATACGTGCGTCCGTGCATGGCGAACTATCAATGCACGGTTGGGACGCTCTGCAAACGTCTGTGTAGGACGTTCCAGCAAAGCTTTATTTACCCTTTGGCTTTGCCAAAAATATTGCACAACCGCGGTCGCGACAGGCGGGAAGAAGGAGCGGGTTTGCGGTGACCTTACTTCGGCGGAGACAGACTTTGACCTAACACTCCGCGGTTACGTTAACAAACTCTTATTTTGTTATCTCCATCGTTTTCTTTTCGCACGGATACACGACCACTTTGGGGTCGCTCACGGAGGAAATGCGTAAACAAAAGGAAGTGTCTTTCCCTCCTTCGTTTTACTTTGTCACGGACGTCCTCCAACTGTAAGGTCCGCGACCGCGTCATTCGGGTGGGATGAGTGTTCGCGGATCGCAGAGTCCGCGCTGGGGTATTTGAGGGGGTGGGCGATGACTCGGTGTTTTTTCGGAAATCGATATTGGCCCAAAAAATGGGGTGGGCGATGGCTCGGGGATGGGCGATGACTCGGGATATTACGGTACAGATGTTTGAACTGCGGCTTTGCCATATAGGTTATGATGTTAATGTAATCACGAGTATGTGTGTGCCATATTCAGCATTTCATGCAGCTTCTAGAAGTTCCTTTAGTGCTTTTTTACCCAGTGCGTTGGATTGCTTTCACAGCACTCTCTCTAAATACTGGCACTGAGCGTCTTGAAGAATGAGTGAAAATACGAAATCAACAGAGACACCTCCAAGCTACGACCATCATCTCTTCGTTCCTCCATGCTCCTCCCTCATGCTCAGTTTTTTGTTGCCGAGTTTGACGTGGGGCTGCCACTTGAGGATCAGAAACGATTGCACATTGTTTTGTCATTTTGTTTTGGTCACAGGGCATGGGAATGAGTGTGGGAGCCATTGTGAACCCGCTTGTTTACCATTACCTGGAGACTGGCAAAGCCAAGATGGCCTTGTCCACAGGTAAGAGAAGGAAGCCTCGCAAGTGTTGTTTTCGTTTTCTTTTTATTTCACAAACCTTTTTAAGAGTCCACTACTTCTAAAACCAGCTGATAAGCGCCAATCGTAATGTAACATCCGAGACCGTGGTGCGGGAAAATTGAGAAACTTCCAAATCCGAGGAAAAGACAACGGTAGGAGAACGTTTTGAGACGTCCTCCTACCGTTGTCTCTTTCTTCGACTCGAAAGTTTCTTAACTTTCCCGCACCACGGTCTTGGGTGTTACAGTACGATTCATTATCACCAGCTCGCCTGCACACTCACTGTTATTTCGCTTGTAGGCATGGTTTCCTTTTTTTATCGCTATCTCGTACATCAATTCTGCCACAACGTCTACCTCAACTGTTCCCCCAAGGCATCCGCAAATGGAGGCAATCAAATAGCTCCCCATGTCTTCGTGCATATGAGGATAATATCTGAAGTTTTTCCCATCCCGACGCATGTGCCAAAATTATTCTATTAATACGCAGATCGGGATATAGGTAGGTTGAGATATAGGAATTTCGGGAGAGGGAGACTGGGATAGAAAGAGGTGGGGATTAGGGAGGTGGAGATATAGGGAGATGGGGATATAGGGGGGTGTAAGTAAATAGGGATGTAGGGGATTGGGGGATATAGGGAAGTGAGGATATAGGGAGTTGGAGATATTGGGAGATGGGGATATGGGGGTCTTGGACAAACCCCACTAAAGTCACTGACAGCTTAAGGAACGCAGGGCGTGGCGAGCCTTGAGCATCTGATTGTCTCTCCGCAGCCAGTGAGAATGCAGCACTGGTCGACAGGAATTCCGAACAACCAATCGCAAAGCAAGAAGTGCCAAGGTGATAAAGCCACATCCTCCGTTTCCTAAGCCTTCGGCGACCATAGTATCTGTTTGACTCACTTTGGGACTGTCTTTCGGGTTGGGCGCCGAGCTAAAGAATTCGGAAAGCAAGCAAGCAAAGTTTGGGGACCATATTTGCTTGTTTAGTCGGCGATTTTGCTACAGTCGAGTACGGTGTCTCCGGAGGAAATTTACTGCGGTATTTTCGCCGGAAAATTAAACCCTGCATTGCCGAAACTCGGTCTCCACCCAAGCGTGGCGACGTTGGGTTGAACCAGATGCCAAAGTGTCGGAGCTTGCTATTATCCGATACAAAAGTTGTAAGCGATTCTCAGACATCTTAAATTGAAAATGGTGGCTAACGAAGTCCACGGATACATGGGGCTGAATGGCACAAACTATACTAGAAATGGTCCTTATTTTACCATTGAAGGTTTCAGAAAATCCCTTACTATAACTTTTGTATAAGAAAACGGCAAGTTCCCAAACATTGGCATCTGGTCCAGACCGCTAACACCAGATTTGGGCAGAGGCTGAGCATTTGGCAATGCACTATTTATATGTGCAAAAAAAAGATTTTTTTGTTTTTTTTTTGAGGGTTTTAGGGGACATGCTTAATGTAAGAAATGTGCAGCATTGCTTGAAAAAGTACATGAAGATAGCTAGTGGTGAAGACCTTAACACTTCCATTTGCAGCCGAGCAGTTCCCCGTGAACCTGGTGCCCTCGCTGCTGGTTCCCGCAATGGTGAACTGCTTCAGGGAGTCCAACGACGCGGTCACTCTCGTCAAGGTAGCTCCCATTGCCACTCTTTGTGGTGGATCTTAGTGTGTAACGGGTCCTAGGGCTGGGTTCCAAACCTAGAGTATCACAGAATCTAACGAAAACCCGATAATCCAAGTGGAGTAGGCGATAGGCTAAGAATGCAGTAGAAGCTCTGCCCCGAGCACTTGCCCGTTGCCCCTCCCAGGTTTTGGATGAGCGTGCATCGAAGCGTTATCGAAGGCGGAAGGTTCGTGCTGGAAGCAGATCGTCTACCGAATTCATAACCTGCCACCAACTGCGGTTGTCTTTACACACAACCGTTCCCCGTAGTGGGAATTGATCCACTGGATTCTCGCTCGGTCATTGGACACCTTATCCGCTGCGTTAATGCAGCGGCTTTGGCTAGCGTGGTTATCGTTGGTACATATATATGTACTCGTGTTGCTGCAGAGACATTGTTGCCCCGGTGGTGGGAGGAGATATTGAATCAAAATTAACTGTTGGGCTAGTTGGCTACACATTGTATAAAAATTCAAAAGCGCAAACACCAAGGAAAAGAGGGAACTGTGTCATTTCAAAATCAATGTGGTATACCATCAGAATCTTTCATGGAACTCCTTAGGTTCTACCTAACATCTACCTTTGTGACCTTTAGCGGCAATACTTACATCCAAAAGAAAGGGATTTGCATTGGCTCCTGTGTAGCACATGTCTTATGCGACATTTTTCTTTCCAGATGTGACAGGGGATAGCCCAGAGCCTTCCCACAAACCTTGTAACACGTATCTTTAGATACGTCGATGACTATCTCGTTTTACTTTCCATCGGATACCAATATGATTGTGGTACATTTAACATCATAAGCAACACTTTCATGACACAAGCTCAAGGACTCAAATTCACACATGAGTTACCTACTAATAGCAAGCTTCAATTTTTAGATCTACAACTGTCCTTTGAAGAATCACACACTTGTTGGACTTATGCACCACGGTCCAAAAAAAGACTCCTACCTTTGATTCTTCCCACTCTAAGATCATCAAAAGAGGAATAGTGCAGAGTTGCTTCAAAGCGGCCCTGCTCAAGTCCTGTGTACACACGGCTAAGTGTAGTTTCGAAGCACAAGTGCAAAGGCTGCTGGATTCTGGATACACCAATTCATTATTGTTTGATGTAGCAGAATGTCTGACAACTCCCAAGGGAAGAGGGAAACGAAATTGCGAGCAGAAAACGCGGCCGGCAGCGATACCCTACTTCCACGACATATCCCACAACTTCAAACGGATAGCCTCAAAGTATGAAGTACCAGTGGTACTATCAGCTCCAAACAAACTAAAAAAATTGTGTCCTAAGATTAATTCGCCAAATGAAAATAACAAAAACTGCACCGTCAAGCATATGCACAAGTACGTCAACTGCAACATCAATGTAGCGTACGAAGTACCATTCACATGTGGGAAAGTCTACGTCGGACAATCTGGGCGCTGTGTGAACGTGAGACTTCGAGAGCATCACCTTTCTCTGAAATCATCACCATCGGGACATCTCGCCATACATGTCCGGGACTGCCACTGCACACCCATATTCCAACAGACTAAGATCCTCAAGCATTACCATAAAAAAAGATCCATAGAACTCTATGAAGCAAAAACCATATTGTCTCTCGGGGGAGCTTGTATAAGCGCACCATCAATAGCGCTGTCCGAGAAAGAGATGAGATACCTCGACCTTTTTTCTTAACGTGGGTCGCTTTAATGCTTTCTTACCTTATCCTTGACCTGCTGATTTTGTTTATACTTCTGAATTTTTATTACATTCTTTTTTTTGCCAATGTCAACGGGTGAAGTCAGATTTAGTTTAAATTTTTTTAATGCATCTATAAACTATAAGAATAATTTTCTTCTTTTTTACCTTCACATGCCTAATTCTTCTTCTATGTCTTCCTCGGGGAATACATTAAACTTCCAGTTGGAGTAAGCGCTCTGTCCTGTCCCCTCTTCTTTTCCTTGGTGTTTGCGCTTTTGAATTTTTATACAATGGTGGGAGGAGCTCAAGATGCTCTGCCTATTCCGTGTCTTCTCACTCTGTCCTTAAAGTCCGACCTACAAAATCATCTTCTACCGGGGAAAAAACCGGTTCCCAGTTTTCTTCTCTCCATTCCCACTCGCCCACTTTTCCCCTCCTCTCCACACAGGAGCGGATCTCTGAACGACTCCCGGTAGAGAGGAGGAGGGTCTCCCTCTTTCTCAAAAGGAACGGAGGAATCGAGGGAGAGTTTTCTTCTTTCTGCTTGTTGGTCGTCCTTTAAGACTACTATGATTAAGTTACTTTTCTTGTTTTTCGCAAGAACTTTCGAGCTTGTTAATGTACAATGAAATTGGGATTTTATAAGGTATCAAGTAGGGCTAGTTGGTGCCTATATGTGTACACACAGCAGTACAATTTAGACAAAAACAGTGGTTTCTGTTTTCTTTTTTTTTTCTCTTATCCTCGTCCAATGTCCCAGCCCATTTATTCGTGCAGTAGTTTTCAGTGTTCATCGCGAAAAAAGAAAATAACAAACCTGTCGATACACCTGAGTGTAAGACGGGGGTTTTTGGTTAACGAGACTTGCACTTGGTAGGTGATCTCATCTTCAGATAACGTGCATTATGAAGCAGCCCAATATAACAGTCTTTTTCTTCTAGTGTTTCTTTAAACTCTTTAAAGGGCAATGTGGTTTTGATTGCAACATGGGGGCGTTCGGACGGAGCCATTTTTTAATGCATTACAATTTTTCCTTTTTTGGCCATTTAGATAGGTCGGCTGTGCTTGTATAGTTTCGTCACATGACCTCTGTGTTCTCACTTTTAGCTGTTTTGACTAAAAAATATATATTTTTAGATTTAAGCTTTTTTTTTTTTTTTTTTGTGTCTTGTCTTTGACTGCAGCTACTTTCTCTGGTGGGAGAGGGCCCAATGCCAACCACTGCCTCCAGGAAACGAACAGGTGAGCCTTGAGAAGATTAAAGTGAATACCTGCACTGTTTACTTATTTTAATGTACATTCAGAATATAGTAGCCTAAAAGTGACCAGCGTTCCTAAAATCAGCGTTCCATTGAAGCGGCTGCAACACAGTCGATTGCGCTCGGATGCAAATGTGTGAACAGGCCTTTTTTTTTACCGTTCATAGTTTTAAAACTTTTCATTAGACAGCTTTACAAATAAGAATTCTCTTTAAAACAGACTGGGCCGGGCGTTTCGTCCTGGACTGCCTGTCCGTCAATGCCGGCTCGCCGTCGGACGTCGTCACTTGGCTGGTTCCGGAGCTCGCGGCCAACGTACGTCATTTCCACCTCGACCTTAATCATTAACCGGTCGACAGTTTCTTTTTGCCTACGGTCGCGAGAATCCAACTGCGGTGTTTGGGGTGTTGTTATCGAAGCCCTCCCTCTGGTTTGTGTGGAATCTGTTGTGAAGTACTGCCTACACTCGGCGCCAACCTTTTCGTACTACTTTGCGAAGGCTTTTGATCTATCGTGGGATCTTTCCACCTTATACTACGCCAGATTCAATCGAGCACAATGCAGAAAGTTTAATCAAACAGTTTATTAACTCGCATGCTGTCGCCCTAAGTCCTGCTCTCCTCCGGATGTGGCAGCAGCTTGTCCGCTCCTCATTGAGGACTCCCCTACCAAAGACTCTAACTGGAGGCCGTCAAATCGAGACCTCTTTATTTCGAGACTCGAGTGGGAGACTTCATATCCGAACTGTCCTGACCACCCCCCGCCTGCTGTCTCCTTATGTTACCCGCCTGACTGTTTTGTCTCCCGCTTCCTCACGCTCCAATCGAGGATCTCGTGCCCATATAAGGCCACAAGCATGGGCGAGTGCTACAATGCCTGTGTGGCAAGAAATTCGCGGCTCAGTACGGTATCGCGAATTTCATCGGATGTTCGCCGATAGGCAAACGGCATGCCGTCCTCAGTGCTGTTTACGTGGCGGGGTTCAAAGGCTTCTAGACTGGCAGAGAATGATGGCTTCAGCACTGGGCACGTGGATGCCAACGTAACCAGACTGTAGGTTTTGCAGTATTTGCAATAGCAAATCTAGGCACTGTCTATGAGAAATGGCCACTCGTAATGTTGTCAGGACTATTTCAAACATGATAAAAGGGTGATGCATAAAGAATGGGTGGCATAAAATGAAAACATGCCTTCGCCTCGCGTCTCGTTCGTACCCGCTTGTGCAGCTCCGACGGCGCAGCAGACGCAACGCTGGTGTAGCACGGAAAAGTTGAATGCCAAGTGTGGAGTAGCAGTCGACGAAGGGGAGGAAGAAAATAGATACGAAAGGCGTGCAAAGAAGTTGGACCGTTCCCCGGCCCCTCTCTTGGGGCAGTGTGCAAGTAAAAAGCAAAAGAGGGGAAAATATTTAATCTCCTTGTTTCGCCCGTACGCGCAGAAATTGGTAATGGTGCAGAAGCGGACAGCGTAGGCGGAAAAGCCTCGAGATTCGCCAGCTGGCTAGCGCGAGTGAGCTATGCAGAAGTGTGAGCATACCGGACAAATAAAATAATGTGCACACCTCTTTCGAACTTTCTGTCGTATCAGCAGCGAGTTCAGGAGCCACATTGTGCATTATTGCTCCGGGGCAATCCGTGACGAGCCTATAAAGGACTTAGTAACTATGTTAGAAACTATCCGTTGTCCTAATTATAAGTAAAGGCCGACTATGCAGTTGTGCAGATCTTGGTTAGAGTGGGATACGATGTTACAAGTTCGAACAGCTGCTCAGACAGCTGTGTGTAGCCATACGTTTGTCCGGCTTGTCTCGGGGTAGTTTGTGGGAGCGAGGGTCCGCCACTACGCCCAGGGGCCGCTACCGACCACCCGAAAAGGACAGTCCGAAGTGCACAACAGCGCATAAGGAATAGGCACAAGAGCGTATTAAAGGAGGACACGCCCATGGCACGGGGGGGAGACGGACCAAGGTCACGGAGGTGTGTAGGTCGAACGCTACGTCATTGTTATACTTCGAATGCTAACAAACATTTCCTGTTACTCTAATAAATGTAGTTTCTTGTTATGGAAACCCCGCTTCTAGTTGTTCCTCCCGGATGGGCGTGCAGCAACGCCACCCTACTGCAAGTTGTACTTAGTGGTCGTCGGTTACTTGCCCTTCTTACTGGAGCACTTGTTTTAGCATACCACTTGTGACTATACGAGTTTTCACCTCAAGAAAAATGGACTTTTTGCGCATTGTTCATACGCCCTGCAAAGTAGTTCTTACAGGATGTGGCCGTCAAAGGATGAAACAATGCTTTTGGCGTTTAAAGCGTGTACGCCTTGATGAGATAACATTAATCTAAAAAGCACCAACATATATCTTAATTATCTACATAAAGGGGGAAATTAGTAACGGTTCGTGAAGAGCCACTTTTTTCTTGAGGCGAAAACAAGCTTAGTTAATAGAGGGTCCTCTAGGATTTGCTGCCCATCCCTCGTGCTAGATTATACTCGTCTTCTGTTTGTTTCATAGTTTTTATGTTTAAACAGGGAATATCTTATGGGGCTGGATTTCATGAGAAAAGCCACATGTTACGCTCGTCCGACAAACAGGTCATGGTTATATAAGCCCTGACACCACGGAACACCATGACATCACGTGACGGTGATGACACGGTGTCGTGCGAATCATCATCATGCCGCAGGACGTCGCCTGACCTCATTGTGTCATGCGGCGTCATGGTGTACCTAACCACGTGACGTTTCTCGACGTCACACAGACCGCATGTGCCCAGCTCGTTCGTAACACCACTTTGTGCATCTCCGAGTTTACTCAATACGATCGAGACTGCACTTAAATTTTCTTCTTTGCCCATTGTTGCGAGACCCCCTTAAATGGCGCGATCGCATTGTACGGGACCTGCATTCAGTGAATGTAACCTCTGCACGTCTTCTTGCCAAGGACGTCAAGATTGGCCAGGCCGCGGCGGAGACTCTGCGGGCTCGTTACGGCAAGAACCTCAGCTCCTCGATCCTCGACGTGAGTCTGACCTGTTTGTTCTTGTCTGTTTGGTTCGCCAGTGCCTTTCGTCAAGGGTTGACCCACAGTTTGTGACACGTTTGGACTCCGCCAAGTGCTAGCTGGTCTGGGTCATGCTACTATTCTTCTAGTAAAGGCTTTTTTTTAAAAAGAGGACAGAATAGAAATCTCACTCGATTAGTGTTTTGGGGGTAAGCCTTTGTTTTGTGCCAAAGGTCACTCTGCTTTGCTTAAAGTAACCTCATTTTGTGAAACCTGCCCGTGTTAAACTGATTGCTAAAAGGAAGTGCAGTACACGAGGCTGATAGGACTTCGATGGTTTCATACATTTCGGTGCTTGTTCATGAAAATGCATTGCCACTGCAGATGCTGGACAAGATCTCCACGGAAATGCTCGACGAATCAGACACCTTGAGTCCTGGTGCCATTCCATCGCAGGTGAGCAGCGATGCAGTTGCTGTCCTGATTGTGACAAAGTGCTCGTGCGGACTTCATATTGTCAAAATGGGGAGTATGTGGGCCATCTTTAAACTCAAATATAGGTTCCCTTCTTCAAACCTAAAACTTAGATAGTTACCTATTGTAGATATTGGTGCGCTAATGTGTTAGTTTTTATGCTTTAAGGGGGTACATAGACCTAAGTATTAAAATTTTTAAAAAAAATTCAGTTTTTAATTTTGAGGTTTTTGGTTTTAGAAACTAATTATACACCCTTACACTAAATTTCATAACCATGTGCCATATAGTTACGTTGATGTAAAATAGTTTCAACACATTTTGAGGCAGTAAAAAAGTAAAGGAATTCAATGTTTCAGTGCATTTTTCTCAGTTCCACTTTTTGCTGCAAGTTTCATACGAAGAAATTTTTTGTTTTAGGGTAAAATTATTTTGATAGCACAATCAAGGTGTTTTCTGAACTAAAATTTACCGGGGAATCGGGCTATCTACTTTATTTTGTTTTAAGTTAAAGTCCTCATTGAGAAAAAACTATGTTTTCAAAAATTGACATTGGGCAGATAAGCACTTCATACTTTGAGGTAATCACCCTTCGTGAAATATTTGCATTAGAGTTATAAAAGCTAGATAGCCCGAAGTCCCACATCCCCCACTTTATATTCAAGCAGTTAAAATGACGCTTAAAAGCTTCATTTGCATATCATAGATTTATTAATGAAGGGTGACACATTGTCTTATGCAGGTATGTAAAGTTGTTCTAGAGAGCTGAAAGTTTGCACAGTATACCTACATCTGAGGTTAAATCTCCCCTGCAAATTGCATTCCAGTCACTTGAGTAGTTCAGAAGTTCAACCTCTAGCCAGAGTCCCCCCTTAGCACAGAATATGTTATAGGGCTGGTTTTCAAGCCTAGAGTGAGAATTTAATAATGCAGCCAGTGTGGTTAGGACCAAAAACTTTATGGCACATTTTTGATCAACTAAGAAGGCTTTGGACCTAACTGAGTACACTTGCTTGCATTTACCCTCCAGCACAAATACTTGTGTGGAAGTGTTTTATACTGTCGAATACAAAATGCTCACTTTGAAGAATGAATCAAGTGATACAAATCCATGTTCAAATGTGCCTTTAAGGTTACGGGACTATAGATTCAAGCTTGTTTATTGGAGCAGACCAAATAAACATGTAGGAATTTATTGTAATAACAGAAAGCAAAGAGTGGCTTTGTTTCTTTAGTCTTGAGTCTTTTGGTATCTATTCTCGTGAAGTTTTTGTTATTCCTTTACTTTCTTCAGTCCTAACGGTATCACAAATAATGACCATTCGCTAGCAATAGTGGGACGTGGCCCCAACTGAAGTTTCAAGGTCAGGCTCTACATGCTTTATCGAGAGTTCTTCCACATCCGCTTCTGCTTTCCCCACTACCGTGGTGTTGTTAATCAGAAACCGAGGAAGTGTCCGTCTGCTCTCTTTCGGGGAAGCTGTCTGTGTCTAACATGAAATTGATGCGAGTGTCTTCGCAATTGTCTCCAGAATGATATGACCATAGAAGAACTGGAGAGCCATCTCGTGGAACTTAAGGTGAGTCGAAGGCCCGCAAATCTTTCTTGCACTTATGTGGTGGGTGGGGGAGGTGTTGTTGACCCCGATTTATGTATTGCAACGATTTTGTTTCAGAACAAAGGGATGAACACAAGGGGTGCCCTGCGCCGACTGCTGCTTCTGCACTGCCGGTTCCGGGTAAGGTTAATTGATTGATTGATTGATTTAGTGTGTGTGTGTGTTCGTGTACATACATATGTATGTATGTAATTTATGTACAAATAAATCTTGTAGTTTTGTAGGGCTCTAATTAAGTTGACCTTCTAAATCTCTAATAGATCTACCATTCTTATAAATACTGTAAACCACCGTTTATCCTAATGTGTAGCTCGCTTCTGCATGGAAGGAGCAATAGAAGATCTGTCGCTTGATGTAAGTGAGAAGCGGGGGAGGCTTGTGGGGGGGGGGTAAGGAAAGGTCTAGTGACAAGGTAGTGCGAGTTGGCACTTATCACGTCTGCAATGAACGACGATCGCACCAACGACTGGAGAGGGGAGCGTATGAACGCCACGTTCACGATTGACCCAAGACGGGTCCTGTGCTGACGGGTTACTGCTTTCAGCTCCTTCGCAGCTTTGCCTCCAGGCTCCTCTTGGAGCAGATTATAGGAAGCACGTGAAGTTATATTGTGTTGTTTATCGGAAAAAGACAATGCACATGCTAATCATCTTTTTCCTTTGTTCTGGGAGCACATTGTTCAAGTTACTAGCACTCTGAAGACACGAGGTCAAAGTGGCCACCTGTATTTTAACTCTAACGTTCTGTGGTTCGTATTAACACTTCTGTTACTTGCACACTCTAGTGTAATGTAGAACCCTTTCACCATGATAGTATACGCGATTTTATTACGGTGGAGAGAGTACTAGAACCGGGAAAAGTGTAATCTACCTTGGCCGAGCTCTGCGGACAAGATAGGCTCTTGGATAGGCCCATCCTGTGCATTGCTCTAGTGCAGGGGTTCTCAAACCTTTTGGTCTCACGGAACCCCAGGAAGCCTCAAAAACTGCTGCGGAACCCCCCCCCCCCTCCATGTTTGCCGACCGAGAAGCAACAGATGCACAATTGTAGGCAATTTTGCTTGTGTTGCTTCCCATATATTCCCACCATATCAATCGCGATGTCGGCACAAAGTGAGATGAAGGCGCTTTGCATGGTCCTGCCGTGCAGCCTGCGGCGTGGGGGTGGGGTTGCAATTTGGGTGTTCGCGGAACCCATGAGACCAGCTCGTGGAACCCTTGTGTTCCCCGGAACCCAGTTTGAGAACCCCTGCTCTAGTGCACACACATTAAAATATCTATCCTAAAAAAAAAAAAAAAAAAAAAAAAAAGATTTTAGTGTGGAGAGGTTTTGCTGCTGACCATTATATGTAGGGCACCGTGTTTTCGGAGTTTATTTTTCGTCAAATTCAGGGAGTGTGTCTCAAGAGTTTCTCGAAGTTTATTTCTGTTGGACCCCCAATTCTCTGAAATTCGAAGTTTAATTTTGCAGTCTTTTCAGTTTCTTCAAAAATAAAAAAAATAAATAATACCGGTATTCAGTGTAAGCATGTGCTAGATTATAAAAGAAAAGAGGTGCACTGCTATTAAATTATGTTTCTTCAGTTGCATCTGGGGCTGGGATTTCATCAGCAATACTAATCTGTCCCACGACAAAACTTGCAAACAAGCGCAAAGATAGATACCTTGAAATCATTAAACTCCTGGAGGTAGCCGCTGGGAAGTTGTTTTTATCCCATCCCTTTCCATCACCCTACCCCTCGGCTAGCGGGGTGAAGTGGTAAAGGGTCTAATATAGAGGCTTCAACTGCCCTCCCTCACCCCCCTCCTCTCTTCTATAAAATCTCAATGGTTCATTATTTTGGCTGTTGCCAAAACACAATCACTCCTTCGTTTAGGAAGTACAGTGCAATCTACTTATAGCGATACCACCTATAGCAAAGTACTGCTTATAACGATCGGTTTCTAGAGTTTCTAGACTAGAAACGCCCATTTTTTAGTCTAGGTACAATGACAGTCGGTTATAGGGATTGGATTTCCGGATTTTCTCGTTATTGTTATGCATGGATTACTCTTTATGTTGAAAACTGGAACCCGGAACAGTGACCCAGAAGTAGAATTATTTATTGTCCCGAATGAACCTTTACGGGGTAAATGGTGTGACAGCTTTTGTAAATAATCCGAGATTTTAAAAAGAAACTATCCCAGTTTCTTTTCAAATTTCTGATTATTGACTAAAGTTGTCGATTCTAAGGACCACTGACCCTGTGTGCTGACCAAACTTAATAGTAAAATGACATCTTTTTCTTTTTTTGGGGTGGGCATTGGCATAGTAAAATGACATCTTTTTCTTTTTTTGGGGTGGGCATTGGCACAATGAAATTCGGTGCTTATAAATAAATTTGAATTCACAGAAAATTCCCCGCCGGGTGTCTTTTCGAGTATTATGGGTTTATCCAAAAACATACAGCCCTAATTATGCGATGACAAATGCCACTTGGAAGGCGGTCAAATTTCCGGTAAAGTACACTGTTTGTGAGAGCCATTCTTTTTTATATATGTATCACCGAGGACTTCGCCACATATATTGGCTTCGTGGTGTCCGGGAGACAACCCTGTCGTTCCCCTCGATCAACACATGGCCGAAAGTGCGGCGAACAGCAAAGAGCCCGCGCGGCCATCGTTACGGCAACCTGCTATGACGATCGTGACCTTACGTCCGTCCGCCGTGCCCACCTTGTGTTCAGAACCTGGACCGCGCCATGGAGATTGCGGAACAGCTCAAGAAGGAAGGGAGCCCCTTCACGGGGGCCATGCACGCCCAGCTCCTGGACCTGTTTGTGTCCGCGGGAGACCTCGACAAGGCCCTGGAGCACCACAAGCTCGTGTGAGGATCCCTTCTCTTGTCCTCTCTGTCGCCCCTGCACCCCGTTTCTCGTGAGGCAATGCCTTTATGAGGAAGGCTGGCACCACAAGCTGGTCTAAGGACTGCTCCTTTTGTCTCCTTTGTCGCCCCTGCACCCTGTTTTTCTCGTAGGCCATTGTCCTTTCTGACCTAGAGGAGCATCACTAGCTCCTGCAGAGATCCCTCCCTTTGTCTCTTTTGTCGCCCCTGCACCCTGTCTCTTATGGGGCATTGTCTTTTAAAGTTAAGGGGGGACACTACCCAAAAAAGTAAATTTTTGAACCACTTGTCTGATTTAAATTATATTTACACGGCTTGTTTCTGCTGATGTTGAGAACATTTCTGCCAAATTTTGTTAACCTGGGTGAAGTACAAAAAAAACTGCAAACGTTCAAAGATGAAAGTGGGCGTGCCTGCGTAGGAAAACTATCGTTTTGAAATTACTTTTAAATTTGTTGTTTTCATATGTTATATTGCATTAGGACAGTTCAGAGCAGATAACTATGGAGCTATATTTCTATGTTATACCATCTTTCATGACAAAAAAGCCACATAAACACAAATACAGTTTCTTAGATTATCATCCTTTGTCCAAAATTTTTGTTTTTGAGCATAAAAAATGACAAAAATAAAAAATACAAGCTCATAGTAATCTTCCCCTTTAAATTTCACCCCAGAAAAACTCATAAAAATGAATCCAAGTTATGTAATAACAAAACGATAGTTTTCCTAATGTGAAATTTATGCCAGAAAGTGGAATGGAGAAAAACGCATTCAAAGTGCTCCAACCTCTACCTTTTCTTTAGCATTGGTGGACTGAAAATAATTTATAATAAATTAACTATACAGTACAATCTAATGAAACTTTCTGGGAATACCCTCTAGATGTTTGTGGATGTAAATGTGACATTTTTCAAAATGAATGTTTTTTTGCAGAAATTGTTTTTTCTGGGTAGTGTCCCCCCTTAACAGGCTGGCCACACAGTGACCATGCACGAAAACCCTTCGCTCATGCACATTGAAATGTGCTTGGTATAGAACACATCAAGTCCCGTCTTGTAAGCTCGTGCTTTGCGACAGAATACGTATCAGAAAGAGAGGAAGACGAGAGTGTGCACCACGCTGGCGGTATACGTAGGACGGTCTAACATGACGGCTGTGACCAAGCTCTCGTTAAGCGTGTTAATAAAAAACAATACCTAAGCAGTGTAAATTTTTTTTCTTTTGCCACTTTAGTGATTGGTTTTTGTCGGCTTGCAGATTACCTGATGGATGCTGTCAAAAAGTTTCAGTCCTGTAACCAAAATATTTTTTCGAGAGTAAATTATTTTCGACATGTAGGCACCATCTAAAGTGCAGCTTTGTAAACGTTCAAACTAATTTATTTTAGTTTGACTTTTTGTCATCAGTATTTGGTTCAGGAAAACAATGATTTGATAATAAAGATGCCTGGGGCCAGTTTTGAAGTTTACATACTGAAATTGTGTAAGGAATGCAACTGTGAAATTTCTACATTTTCATGCTCCTTTGTTATGAAAAGATATACCTTTATTACTCGCATAATGAACACTCTTTTTTTCCAAAAAATTGACACATATTTGGGGGGTTGTGTTCATTACGCAAGGTAAAATTTTTGCATTAACACTCTTCGCGTGAATGTCATTTTAGCTGCCAATGTGACATGGCAGGGTACGGTGGTACTTATCTATTGACAGAGGCACAACCATGGCTGGTCATGGGCGTGCCACACTAACCATACTCTATAAATTGCTAACCTTTTTAGGACGCTTTTGGCATGTCTTTCGCCGAAGGAAAAGCACCCTACAAAGCTCACTTGGCACGGAAAGCAATTCAACAGTGATATCGGGGAAAACCACTTTCCCGATATCGCTGTCCGAAAGTGGATCACAGACGACGGCGTGTTTGTTGACATCAGTGCATTCGATGGACGAAGTATGTCCAGGACTGGGCAATTCCTCGACCCCAGCTTCGTTAGGCGTGCTTGCCACTCGGTTTCAGGGTTGATCACTTTCGCAACCACACCATTGCAGCCATCATGAGAGTGGCTTGGCTTGACTTAACTTGGTCTGGCTGCTTGGCGCCAAAAGAATATTGGCTTCAAGACTCGTGGAGCCGAAAATTAAGTGTGTTCATTATGCGAGAAAAAGAAAAAAGTCCAAATATTGATGCCCGTTAGGGGGGTGCATTCATTATGCGAGTAAATACGGTAGTATCTTCAACCTAATGCACGCAAAAAACTTAAAGCATGTTATGATGTCAGTTTTCTACTTAATATTGTGTCATTTCTGTAATTTCTCTCCACAGTTGCATGACATAGGCCTTGCACAGTGTGTATGACCAAAAAAAACGGCCATTATCATTACCATTTCTATGCAATGGATTTCCTCTGGGGGTGCGGTGTGTATATAATGTACTTTTGTGCAGCTCTTCGAAGGATTAACTTATGAACCTGAAACTTTGCATGGAAAACCATGGCACAGCATTGAATAAACCCCGCACATGTCATGCAAATCTGGCTAACAGTTAACAGACCGGAAGTTAACTAGCTGGGGTTGTTCTGTTTCTCGTACTTCGTGCGGCAGTTTAGAGAAAATCTTATTTGTGGTATGTTTTTTTTTGTTCTTTAGGTATGAGACGGAGCCTAACTTTAGGCTGGACGACCACAAGGTCCTCAACTTGGCTTCACTGATGATTTCCAAGGGACGATTTGAAGGTAAAAAAACCCTGGCTCATTTGCTTGTTGTTCTGGGATGGCTTTCCAAGACGATCCCGCCACAATTTTGATTAGCTATGTGAACATCTGTACATCAAAGGGAAGCTACGAAGTTTCTTGAAAAAAAAAGGGGTTAGAAGTGAATTCTAGTGTATTTTTACCTCGTGAACCCGAATACCGAAAACATTTTTTGCACAAGTACAGTGTAGACCGCATATAACGTATGTCGCGGGAGTCGCGAAAATCCGCACTATAAGCGGTACCGCGCTATAACCAAAACATCAATTTTTTAGGCCAAAATACATGCCATGAGACAACTTACCTTTGTAAAAGAATTTATTTTATGTTAGATGAAAAAGAAAACTTAATTTGAGGAAAGTCGTTATTTCACCAGACTAGCTACAGTTCTGCCTCAAGTTTGTCACACATTTTGAAAGAAATGAGCGGCTTTTGCCTGGCGCAGCCTTTTAACGGCGTCGCGGGTTGCGGACGGACAATGCGAGCATTCAGGATTGGTAACCCTAATCACTTTTCTCCGGAGACGAAACGCGTGAAAATTCGCATCCTTCATACGGTACGCGCCAGTAATACCTTGAACTGGAGCACACGCATGAAATGTGCCAAATAAGAAATCCGGACGATGTTCGAGGACATAAATGCTTAGAAATCACTACTGTAGTCGAAGTAAACAAACACGACGACACGGGCGTTTCTGCCATCTTGAGAGCGCCGCCACGACATCGCCGCACGAGTAGGTGAATCTTCCCTTCTAGTATGTGCTGGGTTATCATAGCGACACACAACGAAAATTCACAGTCAAGGATAGCGCTTTTTTGCGAACGATGAGATGAACGCCGTCTACGACGACGATCACAACCGATGCCATGTTTGCGGATAGAAGCAGCCGGACCGCGACCGGCATGCAACGTGCGCGAACACTTCTCCTCGACCTGCGATTGGTCTGTCGTTGCGGTTTGTTTCCAACGCAGCGGAGGGACGCACGCACGTGAACGGCACGTGCGTGTGTCCCTCCGTCGCTATGGCAACTAAAGCCTCTCTCTTCGCTTCTCCCCGCTCCTTCGAGCAACCTCCGTGCCCCGCGAGTTCCACTCGCGCCGTCAGCGCCGTTATCTAGTGTCGCACAGGGAAGCGTGCTCGCTGCTCCGGTCGTCGGCGCGATCGGCGGGCTGTGCCAGAAACCACACTATAACCGGTATTTCCCTTCGCGCGCTTGCATTTTAAGCGGTATGTAATTACATGGAGTTCTATGGGAGGCGAACCGGTGGTTTAAAAAAACCGTGTTTTACCCGGTCCTGCACTATAAGCGGTTACGTTGTAAGTGGTCTATACTGTATTGTTAAACGCGAGAAAACGGAAAAGACAATCGCTGTACGTGACGTCATCGACGGATCTTTTGGCTGCTCAAGGCTAGGGAGCCGGGGCTTCAGCCCTATTTTGAAATTGCTTTTATGGCTCTCTGGCGCGTCGCATTGAAACATAATTGTGATATACATTATTCTGATGACCAGGTGAACACAATTCAAGTGTTTTTTCTCAAATGTTAATGCACTTTCATAATTCTTATATCATTTGAGCAATCGAGTTGTGATTTTATACTCTGCTGGATTGTTTGAGCTACAAGAAGTTTGACCACAGAATAGCCATTAGCCAATCTTTTTTATGTAAAAAAGATGCACCTGCTGGCATAACAGTAGCTGCAGTTCTGCCTGTCGACACATTCACCTGTCTGGTAGAACTTATATGCCGATGCAGAATTTCCTGTCCTGGCATGGAGCTTTTTTATATTTTTTTAATGTGGAATTGCATTTTCATTGAAGCTAACTTTGAGCAAGTGATCATCGTGAAGTTTAGCATGCCAAGGTCTAAGAGAGTTGGCCAGGTACCAGACGCCTCTGCTACAAACTCTGCCGACCAGACAACACAACTGCAGGAGAAAAAAAAGAGAAAACAGAAAAGGCAGAAGAGTGGACATTCTTATGCTTCAAGAAGACTTTGCGAATTGCAATAATCATGAACCATTTCACTCTGTGAAGTTGGATGACCAGCGAAGCTGTTTAGCAGACGACACAGACCCGCCCCAAGGAGCCGGAAGAAACTAGATACGCGCGACGAGACCGCCACCCTGGGAGAGCGGAAGGAAAGGAAACTAGGCACGCAAGCGCTTGGAACGACGACAAAGAGAGGGCGGTGTGAGCGTAGACATGGCCGACGCGGGTCGCTCAGCGGCAAATCTTTGAGAAGCCTTTATTATCTACCTGAAAGTCTACTGATCTTGAAAGTGGTGCCTGTTGATAACTAACCTACTGAATTGCTGAATTCAGTAGGTGCTATTGCTATTGCTAAACTACCCATGCATCACGGAGAATGCAGGGCGTGGTGTTCTACGTGCCGCACGTGCCGGCATCTGCAGCAGTAACTGTTCTGAAGCAAAAGCCTAAAACAAATGGCATCTTGAACACGCATTCGTCGACGCTTTATTTTGGTTATTTACTTCGGATCTTTTATACGGGTCAGGTGTGCGCGTGCAGCGGTGTGAGCATAGAGTTTTAGTCACTGCACACAAAAGATCCACTAAACCCTAGCCATAGACAGCTTCCCTGTAAAAGAAAACTTTGAAAACAAGGAAAAAGAAAAAAAGAATGGGTACAAAAGGGGTATGGGGCGAGGCTAAAAGACACTGAGTCGAATGCCGGGAAGGCTGAGACTGTATACCGGCATCTGCCACGCTCCTCGTGAAATGAAATGAAACCTTTATTTTTCTCCGGCGGAGTTAGAGGCAGAGAAAAACGTCGCCATTGGGACTCAACGTTTCTGCCCCACTACGGTTGGCAGGATGGGCCAACACGTGCATGTACCACATAAATGTAGCACATGAGCTATCAATTACATCAATAAACTTATGACATTTAATGACGGTTTGGTAGACAGTAAAAATAAAACAGCATTTATTTTAAAATGTTGAATGCTTTGTGCCGCCAATAAGCGGCAGAACACGATCTACCTGCCGCATCGCTGAATCGGCGTGGCGTTCCCCGCGGACAGAGGGCCTCCGACTGGTGGAGGAGAGCTTTGCAGCCCACGGTGTGCGGGAGTCGCCGGAGAGCCTGCAGCGCAACGTGTTCCGGCTGTTAAACGCGGCCTCGCAGCACGGCACACCCGAGCAGACCCAGCAGGCCTTCGACCTGGCAGTGGTCAAGTGCAAGTTCGCCCCTCCGTCCACCCTGGTGTTGGGACCCCTGGTGCGCTGCCACCTGCTCAGGTGAGGGGCACAGCAACAAAAGCGGGATGCGTACGCGTGCGTGGCGAGTTTCAACGCGGAATGCGTTGAAACCTGAGGAAAGTGTGACGGAACGCCGCGGAAACCATTATGAAATATGCAGTACATAGTTGGAGGATGATCTGTACAAAGAAAACGCATAATTGAAAAGTAGTAGGGAGTAATTAACCCGGAAGAACGAGCGAAATTCCACACGCGACTCGACGGGAATCAAACCATCGACCCCGTGATTACGAGCCCGGCATTGTAGCTCTGCGCCAAAGGGGGGTCTTGCGAAGCCGAAACAACTCGTCTACTCGCTGTTTGAACGCAGACGCCTAACGCTGGCGTTCACGTTCAAACAGTGGGTAGGGACAAAGGCAGCAGCTAGCTTTGCATCCGCCCACTAATCATTCCAAATGGAGTAGGGTGTTCTGACATCCTTGTGCACTCTTGTGTCTTCCTCAACATGAGTTTCTACCCCTATAACTAAAGAAAATTAAAAACTGAATAAGTTCAAAGTTTACCTCAAGCCCCAAAGGATGCCATGGAAACACATTCTGTGTATCTATCCGTGGGATCAAGATAAATTTAGTTGAAGTTACCTTGGCAAAACACAACTTTCATCAAGCAAAAACTCTAAAAGTGTGAATTTCAATATCAACTTTTAATGCACCCCTCGTGCCGTGCAATGCATTGCCTAGGTCGGGATTCAAACAAAATGAGGTGGCACGGCTTTACAAACTGCCTCGTTTCCACAGCGTCAAGGCCCCTTGCAACTATGACTTCTTTGATATCAGAGACCCACTGGTGTAGCCAGAAATTTCTGTGGAGGTGTTTTACTTTTCTGGCAGAGTTGGAAGGGTAAGAGGAGGCAAAGAAGAAGAAAGAAAATGTTAATGTTTTCTTTTTGTTATACCTAAATTAGAAAAAAAAGAAGAAAAGAAAAGCCAAGCGCTCAAAAGATTGCACATTTGCCTGCCCTAGAAACGCTTTATACTACATGACCGACGCAACAAATCAAAAAGCTAGATTTATGCTATTTCTCAGTCATTACATGGATTCACGCGAAAGGGGCTGGCACGACTTCGAGTTAACCACCGCAGCTAGGGAACAGAGTTGCACCAGAGGAACGGAAGAATGGTGCGATATCATTGCTCTGTTTTCTCACGAGGGTTCCACTGGGTGTGACAAACATGTTCACGACTTGTGGGAAGTGTCAGCGAATTGGTGCACTCTTTGACACTGTTAGCACGAACAAGCCATTGCCAAATTTTTGTGTTTGCTTTTAGAATCAAAAGGCCGTCATCAAAACTTTTAGTGTGACGGGAAGTGTTCCACTGGGGCACTAACCTAAATGGCAAAGTTTAGTACCCGCCAACACCCTTTCGAAGGAAATTGTAAAAAAGTGACAATGTCATGTTCACGCCAATGGTGCCGTGCAGTGCACATCCAGGGAGTGGACACTCACTTGACCTCTGGAACACCGAGCTACTCGGGGCTTGGTACAGTTACCCTTATCAGAGGACACCAATTCTCTGAATGAAGATGTGGGGAAGGAAGTGACGTTCTGAATGATGAAGGCTATAAACTGGGTTACTCTTTTTTGCCTTTTTGCTGTACGGGCCAGGGCTCTGTTGAAACACGTGGGGTGCGGAAGAAGGAAGGAGATACTAGTATAAACTCATTATGACGAACCTTGAATATGAGGAACATTTTAATCTGTTGTAAAAGGAGTTTTAAGAATGCAGACACTCTTACTACAGACTTTGAGGTGGATTATGACTGCAGTCTGTTCTAACCAGCAAGGCTGGCGAAATGGGAATGGGTAATTGGAAAAAAACTGTTTTATTGAAACTCCTGAACTTTGAAAGGTATTGATTGTTTTTATTGAACTGTACCGACGATCGTCATCAGTGCGCGCCTTGGATCGTACGAGGCTAGCTAGGCGCCGAGCACGATGACAGCAGTTCGCAAAATGAATGCCACTGCTACCGAAACAAAGCCACGTAGTATCCAAAATAATGACTACTGTCGAAGAGTCCACTATAATGGAATGGTGAATTATACTTACAGACTTCCTAACATAGTCCATTATATCTGAATGTTTGTTCTAATTGAACCTGTAATAAGCGAAATTTGCTCAATGGCATAGATAAAAAGACCGTCCTAACTTGAAAAGTCGGTACGTTATAGCCGAGCATGTGCTGTAACCAGGTCTTTTGTTACGAGATTGTACCGTATAGCAAAAGACTTGTGGGGTGTTCAGACACCTTCCTGGCTACACCCCTACCCAGAGCTATCTCCATCTAAGTTATCTGGAGTGATATCAAGTTTCCCTTTTCTTATGCTGCTCTAGAGATGACCTGGCTCAGGCATTGAGTGCTTTTGAAAGCTGCGCCAAGGCATACAAGCACACCCCCATGAAGAACGAACTGTCCCGCCGGTTCATCGAAAAAGAGGATTCAGAGTCGCTGCAGAGAGGTGAGTGTCTCAACAAAAAGTGCAAGTATTTGCCGTGTGCATATAAATCCAAGGGGAGGGGAAACCTAACTGGGGCCTAGATTCACATTTAAAAACTGAAAAAGAAATACTATTGCGGAAAGAAATGAATGAGGTTATCAATTGATTGGCAGGTACCGTAGAATGCATACAATTTCCGCTGTTTGTACTCCACCGAACAATTTGAGCCGAAATACCTGGTCTGGCCTTTTTCTGTGTCTGTCTCCACAAGCTCCATTGTGTCTTGATTCATCAAAGAGTTTGAAATATGAGCACTCCACTTTGCATTCCACTCCTCGTTCAAACCACAGCTCTCTCAAAAAGTGGCAGGTACAGCGAGAAGCACGAAAAACTGATTCAGCTCATTGTTTTCATGTTAGTACCTCTGTGCGTGTCGTTTCCTTTCTTGTTCCTCAGTTTCGGGTTTTCAAGATGTTGAATGTTCACCGGCTCACCTGCACATTCTGTGCTATTTCCGTAATGGAGAGCTTTATCTAATTTTAATGACTGTGCTAGCCACGTCTTTCGATACAAGTCCTAGCTATAATTATTCAATGGCCGTTGATACCAAAAAAGTTTGCTGGGGCGTTTAGTAACATGGTTAAGCTTGCCTTGCCAATGAAACTCGTGAGAGTGGTCTGACAACTATGGTCGGTGTGACAGGTCAAGAGTTCAGGGGAAGCTCCTTCCATCCCTTTCCCCTTTAGCTAAGCAAATACTGGAGAGGAAGTTGCCTCTTCTATGTTTTCTCTGCTAAAGTGGAAAGGAAAGGGCTGGGAAAAGCTTCCCCCGGAAACTTGACCTGTCACCGACTATAGTAATTCGTTGGTTTGAAGCATGCTGCCCTATCCCTAAATTGACTCATTTTAAAGCAACGGCTTGACTCGAGACGATAATGGGAGGCGATTTAGTGACAATCTAGAGAGGTTGCAGCGGTGATCGGATGTCGAGACGAAACAAAGGACAATGCATAAGCACACCCAAACAGAAGTGCCAGGAACAAAAACGTTGCTGGCATACGGTTCTGCGGCTTTTAAAGGGATGGCTTTTTACGGGAATCCACCGTGGACCCCCCGCTTGCTCGCGGTGGTGTTGGTTGCACTGTGGCAAGGCCGTGGGAGCAAGTGACAGCAACGGAGCTCAACTGTTGGCTTGATGTCATAGCATGTACGATTAATGGCATAGCATCGTACGGTAGAGGTTTGCATGAGCCAATATTTAGGAATTGAGCCCAGCCCGGACCGCGGTCCCTTGGGCCTGGTTCCACCCACGGCCCGCTATTCATTTCCGACAGTCGGCCCAGCCTGGCCCAATGCTAATTTTTACGGGCCTGCTGAGGCCCTCTCTATTTTCACCTAGTATGAATAGCTCACAAATTGCACCGCAGCTCGCTTGCCACTGCTACACATGTTGACTACGGTACCCGACAGTCAACGCTGTGGGCATCCTTTTTTATTATTTTTTTTTGGCTACTCTTTTTAGTTGGGCCAACCTGCAAGCCTAGGCAGCCTGCTAAAAGGAAAAATCGCCCCCCTATCGTTCTTTTTTGCGAACGAGCCTGCGTATCAAAAAAGCCGGAAAAATAAAAATGACAAGCAACAGTTAACAAAACCATGCGTTTAAAAAGGCAGGGTAAACGTCGCGACGGGTTCGGACAAAAAGCCGGCAAAGTTCTAAATTGCCCACTTTTGCTGTGCAGAACCGCAAATAATATATATAAAATATACCACCGTCTTTGCCGGTTCTTGGTGGGTTTCCGCGAGTCCTTCACACCGTGAGACACTAATTTGCCGCGTGCGCAACCTGTGGTATCGTTTCCCGTCACACAGGAGTTTGTAGCGAATTCCCGCGTGTTTATCGCATCACGAAACGTGAATTTGCCCCGCCAGCGATCTGCGGTATCAGTTCCCGCGTCATGTGGTTTATAGCGGGTGCACTGGTGCTTATCGTTAATTTTTGATAAAGTTTTGCTGTGGCATCCCCAAAGGATGCCAGAGCCCCATGTTTTTCACCATTTATCTCTTCATTTTGGGTGGGCCTTCTTACGGGATTTTACGGTACTTTTTTTCTCTTTGTTTTGCTGTATGTTTGTCTGCTGCCTGTGTTGGGAGTGTGGCATGGTACTAGAGGCCTGGTCAGGCGACTTTATTGTTGCCTTTTTGCCCCAGCTTCATGGAAATCTTTATATTGACAAAAACTCCAAATGAACAATTTTATTCAAAAGTCACATGTGATTTTCTGAAATTTTCAACAGGAAAATGGCGGCCGATGGAGCTCTCGAATACATGGAGCAGAATGGTGCTGATCACGAGAGACTAGCAAAAATGGGCCCCATTTTCACATTGATATTTTCAGTAGACGTGTGCGAACATCAAAATCTTTCAAAGCGAATCAAATCGAATTGAATATTTTCGAATATGAATAGTAGTTTCGAATAAAAACATTTTTGAAAACAAATATTTTCTATTTGATGTGAATTAACAAGAATGCTCAATCAGAACACAACTGGAAGTTGTTTTATTTTTCAACAAACATTTATGAAAAGTTTCATTTCAATAAAAAAAAAATGTCACACATGGGACTGATAAAAAACAGATGAAATAAAAGATCAATCAGTAAAACACCACTCAAGGATGAAGTTACAGAACGTAAATGAAAGTACGCAAGTGAAGGCGGGTCAGCAAGCCCCAATGCACTCTGAGATCGCGTCGTGGACGAACACAACCCCGTGAACATAAAACGAAAGTATGCAAGGAGTGGCGGGTTGGTAAGCCACAATACAAAGTCAAAGATCTTGTCACGCAGCTGCACCGACTTTGTGCAGTCTCTTTTTATGCGGGTGAACGCAACCACGTGAACGTACACAAGCGGAGGCGGGTCGGCAGGCCACAGCAGAGTTGGAGATTGTGGGGTTGCTCCACGCAGCCACACTGACCTTACGCAATCTCTTTCCGCGTGCAATAGTTGTGCCGATAAAGGGCGCCTCAGAGAAGCAATAAGTTAAGAACATGTTGTTATTTTTTGGCGGTGGGAGCAAGTTTCATTTTTACCAGTGAGAACGCGTAGAAAGAAATAAGAAAAGGAATAGTACTGGCTAACTCTTGAACCGGAACATCAAGCGGAAAATAACACGAGCCAGATATCGCCGATAGCCGAGGTGAGCCGTAAATCCATATCCGAATCCAGAGCACCTTGGCTACTGTAGTGACTGTGAGAAGGACTGTAGTGAGTGGGACCCCTGTCGCGTTTGTGCTCACGACGATGCATATGCCGTTGCAAATCATAGTCCTTCATCAAATCTATCGCAGCGTTTGCACCACGACCACTTCGCCAACTTTGCAATCCAGACATCACGGCAAGCAAAAGACAAATCGTGCTACCACTTGCAAATATTTTCCAATGCTTCATGCAAAAAAAAAACAAAAAAAAAAAAAAAAAGGCACTTTAGTTGGCTTTTTTGGGTTTGCCAAGCTCGAACCCATACTGTGCAGTCCGAAAACAAAACAGGGAGCTCCACCGCGAGTTGATACTAATCAGCAAGTTTCGAGTTATTCGTAATCTTCGAATTATTCGAAGAACTCGAATGCTTCCAAACAACGAAAGTGTGAAGCGAAGCGAATCGAATCGAATAGCGAGCATTATTTGCAAAAATTCAAAGTTTCAAATATTCGCACACCCCTAATAATTTTCTGAAAATCACTCGTAACTTTTGATAGAGATGACGGTTAGCTCTGAAAGTTTGGCATCTGGTTCAGACCACCGGCGCTACATTTGGGTGATGCATACTAGTTTATTTTTGCGGTGAAAAAAAAAAACATATATTTTTTGGGGGAAGTACGCTGTACATCCACAATTCCTTTGCCACGTGTCACATTGCATATCCTTCCAATTGCAAGTTCTGCTCGTTACAAACCCCATCAAGTGCTGTTGCACACCCATTGCCTTTAACAGAGTGTCTGTTTTTGTCTTCTGTGCTTGAACCTGAATGTGACTTGCGTACACCCTTGCAGTGGTGGATATCAGCACGGAGGTGCACGGCGAGATGAACACCCTTTACGACCTCATGAGCTACTTCCTGGAGTGTGGCCACGTTCGCCAGGCGCAGAAGATTCTGGAGGTGCGTGCTCTTTCCCTCATTTGCCCATTGCTGTCTTTTTTTGCGACATCTGCGATGCGATTACTTACCTTTATGCTGTCTATTCTAAGCTAAAAATCCCACAAATGTTCAGTTTAGAGGCATTAGAATTGATTGTGTGAAGGGCCGTCTGCTTTTCCGAAGTATCCCAGAGGTCAACTTTTCCAACTGTGCTTTGTGTTCTAACCTTCCTGTTCTGGGAGCACACCTCTGAGATAGGGACAACTAAGCATGTTCTTAAACAAGTGGTATACCTCTGCCTTAGGGTTGCGGACTATACTAACTTGGGCACTACTTCCATCTAAAAGTGTTTTCTCAAAGCAGAAATTATGACAGTGTTGCCAAGGTTTGATGCCAAACCAGTTGTCATGTAATGGGACAAGCAATCATCGCCGTCATACTACTGAGCTGGACCCCACTTTGGGATCAGCGGTGCTGAAAAACACCCTTGCAGTCTTAGTACCACTAATCCTAAAGTCAGTAGACAACATTGTTCCGAGCTTGTCTGTTTCAATTGCGCTCACTTGTGGACACATGTTTTGACTTCGACAGACACCAGGACTGAGAGCAAGGCATCAGCGGTTGGACCAGATCTGCGAGACCTTTTTGCAGCGAGACATGGTGGGTGTTTTTTTTTGTTTTTTTTACCTTTTTGGCTTTGTGGCAACAAACAGTCGACCTGCCGACCGAACGTTGCTCGTAACGCGAAACTGGCACATGCATTTTTGTCACAGATCACGGAGTTGGAGCACCTGGTGCAGATCACCAAAGACCTGTTTGACGTCAACAGGGATGCCATGTACTTCTTCCTGCTCAGGGCCTACGGTGAGTCGCCTACAAAGGCCTGGCCATAATTCTGCACAAACTTAAAATTTGATAGGCTACAGTCAAAGCCACGATGGAGTGCTAGCCCAGTTTTTGCGCAGCAAAAATTCAACGAGTGAATTTATGTGACAGGCACTCCGCTGTCACAAAATTTCATAGTAGCCGAACGTTCCAGCTAGCCCAAATTTGACAGTGGCGCACGGCTTCAAAGTGTCACGTTCCATAACGAGACCGTGTCATTTGACGTCACAATGTCACGTGATGTTAGTGTCGGGTGACGTCATAGTTTTTCTTCTCAAGCTGGCGGAGAAATGTAGTCTCCTCTCAATTTCTCATAGCAAGTGCTGCTTGTTTAAGAACCGCTCCAAGTGCTATTGCACCTTAATTATAATAGACCCTTTCAAAAGTGTGCGCTATCCAAGTCGGTGCCGCACCGATTGTTCAAGTTTGCCACTGTTTGGGCACTCTGATCACAAACTGGACACGAGAGTTGTGTCGGCTTGTGTCGAAGACAAGTGCCGCGTTGGCATTTGGCGAGGACTCCGATCCGCTCGCACGCTTCACGCCCCAGCAATGGTGGCCACCAATGTTGCTCGACGGACCTTTGAAAGGGGTCTGTCGTTGACGCAACGTCTAAGCCAAGCGACCTCTCTCACGGAGTGCAGCCTCCGTGAACGACGTGGGACGGGCCCTGGACGTGTGGACCAAGATGCAGGAGGAGAACGTGCAGCCGAGCGCCCGCACCCTGCGCTTCCTGGCCGCCCTGCTGCGCAAGGAGGGCCAGCCGCTGCCCTTCGAAGTGCCCCCCGAGGAGGACGACCCGGTGAGAGAGTTTGGGAGGCGGTCCTTCGAGGCCCGCGGCTCAGCACGCGGGGTGGCATCGAGAGGAGTCTCGTTGGAGAGCCTCGTCGCCAAGGACGTCGACCGCGCCCTGGACGAGTGGCAGAGGTTCGTGCGGTGGTCTTTCCTGTCCTGCTTTTCATTTCATTAAAGGGGCACATAAGTGCTCTTTGAGAAACTCGCTTTGTGGTCATAACTCAATCTGCGAGCTTTAGGCATCCTATAAAATCCGAAATTACATTGATGCGCGGCCGATTTGCCTATTAAAAAGGTGATATAAGATCTCGACATCTACCGTTGGCGGCGGACGACAGATGGCGCTACCAAACTTCACTGAATGGGATCAAACAACAAACGGCGATTGTTAGACACTCGCGTGGACGAGCGGCCGACCAGTTCCGTCCAACGCTGATACGGCGTCGCCCGCTCCTTCATTTTGTGACGTGCCTTGCACGTCCAGTGCATTTCATTTTACTAGTCCCGGCACGTAGACATCACGCCTAAAACTTGCAGCTGCATCGTGTATACAGCCTACTTGTTTTTTTTTTTTGTTTGTTTTTTTCTTCCTCGGAACAACATTGACTTTGAAAAATGTTATACAGTTAAACCCACTTATAACGAACCCACATATAACGACCAATCGGTTATGACGACCAGCTCTCAGAAAATATACAAACTCAAGGCCCAACCCATTAAAACTGATCCAATTAAAACGACCATTCTTCAAAGCATCATCATACTGTTAGAACGAACATAAAGTCCGCTTTCGGAAGAAAAAAAACTCCCGCGCGCGTGAAAAGATAAAAAAATATATAAAAAAAGTGAAAGCTGTTTACAACTCCCTGTAACGCCGAATTGGAGCGCAGCTCTTGAGAAGGAGGAGGGAAGGGTACTGAGGGGAGGGTAGACCCCTCCTCCTTCTCCTCCTCCTCCCCTCATTCTTTAACATGCTCCGGGGGGGGGGGGGGGGGGGGTCACGTGACCTCGGGAGAGGGGGGGGGGGGGTGTCACGTGACTTCGGGGAGGGGGGTCACGTGACCTCCGAGATGCGTGACCTGGGGGGGTCACGTGACCTTCGGGTGTCACATTGGGGGGTCACGTGATCTTGAGGTGACCTTGGGGAGGGGACCTCGGGGCTCACGTGACCTTGGAGGAGTCACGTGACCTTGGGGGGTCATGTGACCTTGGGGAGGGGACCACGTGACCTCCGGGGTCACATGACCTCGGAGGGGTCACGTGACCTGGGGGTTCACGTGACCTTCGGGGGGTCACGTGACCTTGGGAGGGCGCATGCTCGGTATTTTACGGTAGGTCGCGGCGTTAGCGGATAAGAACACCGAGGCAAGACGCACAAGGATAACGTGCCACACCCAGCGTTTCTTCGGCCGTCAAGGTCTGCGGCAACGCGCAATTTTGTCCGGGACGTCGGAGGAGCCGAATCCGCCACCTTTTTGTATCGCAGGTTGGCAGACTCGAATGCGGCACTCTCTCATCGGGACACGAGCCTTCTCATCGAAGCGCTGATCCTGAAGGAACGGATCAAGGGTGAGTCGACGCGCCCCAAACTCGAATCTCGCCAGGCTCTAACGACGCCGCGATTCTTTCGACTCTTTTCGGCACTTTTGACACTCGGATGTCCGGTCCCTAGCACGCTTGTCGGGTTTTGGCATGATTCGGCCCAAAGCTCACGAGGCGTCGAAGCGTTATCGAAGACGGAAAGATCATTCTAGAAGCGAGGCAACCGAGAAATCTCCCCGCTGTTTTCGTTCCGTCGTTGACCACAGTGTTTCTGAGCTTCTTTTCACTTTACGTCTGACGGGGCAAATCGAGCGGCGGGAGAAGTTCGGCGTCGCGGCGCTCGCCGTCTGCGTGACTGTGCCGTCATTGGCCGAGCCAATTGCGCAGAGGATCGAGGTGTATTCGTTGTGTGCGATTCATTTAGTTGGCGACGGCAAGCGGACAAGGGTAACAATCGCTGTGCGACACGCCTTTGGCGCCGCTCGATCGGATTCGTCGGACTCTGGCCTCGGCTCCGGTCGGATTTAAAGCGGGAGTACGGACAACATCTTTGCTTGTTGGCAGACGCCCTGCGCGTGACGGAGGAGCTGCTCTCGCGGGGCCTGCACCCGTGGCCGAGGGTGCTCAAGTTCCTGCTGCTGCGCCTGGCCACCCTGGGAGAGGTGGACAAGATGGAAGCCCTGCGCCCGCAGTTGCCGGACCAGCTGGTGCGCTCGGTCTCCTTCGACAACCTCGTCTGCAACGCCTACGTCAACTGGTGAGCCCGGAGCCCCTCCGTGCGGGAGGGTAACGACGTAGATGAACTGCCACATTTGCTCGAGTAATGTTTGGAATCAAAGCGAGAGTGCAGGCAAGCCGGTTTAAGACCGACATAGTG